CAAACGGACAGACAGACGGACGGACGGACAGACAGACGGGGACATGGCTAGATAGACTCGGCTACTGATGCTGATCAAGAATATATATACTTTATGGGGTCGGAGATGCTTCCTTTTGCCTGTTACATACATTTGCACAAGTACATTATACCCTCTTTACCCATTTTCAATGGGTTCAGAGTATAATAAACATATATATATATATATATATATATATATATATATATATATATATAGATAAGTTATGCATTTAGTATATGGTATACAGATTTTTGAAATATTTTGCATTAAACAAGAAGTGCAAAGTAAAAATTTGTTCTAGTAGATACTAGGGTATCTACCCACAAATAATATCCAAGTATATTTGGGCTTATATGTATATTTTATGTACCAAATTTTGTAGCTTTTGCTTTTCGAGAATTCGGAGATCAATTAGAGCGATATCTGTTTAAGTACCTAGTTGAAATATATATAAATTATACTAAAAAAACAAGATAACTTTCTCTCGATATGCTTAGTAAATTTTTAGTATTTATTTTTCACTTGGAAAATAAAGACACCACAGAAACAGATGGATAAACAGGACTATATCGAGGCATCTGGTGATCAATCAATCAGGAATACGTATTCTATATGGAGCTGGAGGTGTCTCCAGATGCCTTTCTTGACAATATTATAAAATTGAGATCCATAAACCGACAAATACCAAAAGATTAAAAATGTTTAAGTATTAATATATAATTGAAGAAACTAATCCACTTTGTTCTCTCTCTATGGCTCGACTCTATCTACCTTACGAAACGCACCCCCCTCTGCCCCCTTGGTCCTCTTCTTCATGCGCTACAGCGTTGCCACCTGACCGCAATCTTGCTCGCCTCCCTTCCCCCCTCGCGCACACAGCTCATTAAGTATTTTTGGGCAAATTTGTTATTTTATTTTTATGTTGTGTCCGTTGTGCGGCAAATGTTGCACATTGTGTCTATTTGCGGACTATTTCCTAGCACAAAACTCCCAAAAAAAAATCAAAAAAAAAAAAAACCTTAACCCGAAGCCCCAAATTCAAGCCCGGAAACCAGAAACTCATCAACTAAGCCGAAATGTGGGCGGATTTGAGAAGCAACGAAGCGAGCGCTGCCACTTTTCCTGCCCAACCATCCAGTGACGCAAATCTATTGATTATTCTGGGGCATATGCCACAGAGCAACAACAAGAACAACAACAACAATAATTTGGAACATGGAATAACAACAGAACATCAACACATAACCACATGCACAAATTTGGTGGTAGCATTAAATAAATTCAAATAAAGCACGACAACAAAATATAGAAATTGGTCGAGAACTCAATACACTAAGAAACCTGGTCAAGTATTCCAAGTAAACGTATGTATATTCAATACTGGAATATAGTATAAAAGAATTCAAATTTGATTAAATTTAATAACACCCAGCTTAAGCTATTAGCTCTCAGGGCTGCAAGCCAAGTTTGAAACGAACCGGTTCGAAGCCGCAATGCGGGACCACTTTATACCATGAATCGAACTTCAATCAAAGCAGTTATAAAAGTTAGCCAATCCAACCGAAACTCGAACCCAATCATATTTATCCCAGAAATGGTTTAATTTAAAATATAATAAGTAAGAGGTTCTAGTCGGGAGCTCCCGACTAGGGGATACCCTGAACCCTCTTCTTTCAACGGGCGATAGGTATAAAATGAAAGATATTTGATATATGTATATGTATATATACTATTCTAGAAGCTACATGTCAAGTTTGGTGACTCTAGCTCATATTAGTTGCCGAAATTGCTCAAAAAACAGGATTTCGATATCGATTTTTATCGATTACTTGGAAACGGGGCAAGTTATCGAATATCGGAAACAAACTTGATCTGCGCGGTCACTAGGAGGACCTACAGCTAAAATTTTAAGTCTCTAGCTCTTATAGGTTCTGGATCCTTGCGTTCATACCTACGGACAGACAGACGGACGGACGGACAGACAGACGGACGGACAGACAGACGGACATGGCTAGATCGACTCGGCTACTGATGCTGATCAAGAATATATATAGTTTATGGGGTCGGAGATGCTTCCTTCTGCCTGTTACATACATTTGCACAAATACGTTATACCCTGTTTACCCATTTTAATGGGTTCAGGGTATAAAAACTAAAAGCAGGGCGCTGGTTCAAAGCACATACCAAACTAACGGTTTTTTTTTTAGTGTACTCTACTTATTACACTTCTTAAATAAATAGTAATAATAATCATTTAATAATCGAAGAGCTTTAATCGTTTAATAATCGATAACTTTTGAGAAACTCTTTCAGCTTTTCAATAGTTCACGTATTGAATCTAAAAGCAGGGCGCTGGCTCAAAGCACACAGTTCACACAATTTACACTTGTTAAATGCATTATAATAAAAAGAATAATCGAAGAGCCAAAATCACTTTACAATCGATAAACCTTTAAGTATTAAGTAACTCTTTCGGCTTTTGCAATAGTTCCTAATTGTTTGCCATAGAGGAAGAGCAACAATGATTGCTGACACAGGCAAACAAACTAAACAACTTTAAGCAGTTAAGCCAGTTAAGCACCAGCCGTGAGCAACCCTCAGAGTGCACAAAGTTTTTATACCCTGAAGCCATTCAAAGCGGCCAGCATGGGTATAATGTATTTGTGCAAAGCGAATGAACAACAGGCGGAAGGCATCTCCGAGCCCATAAAGCCGAGCTATGCCATGTTTAACTAGCTTTAACTATTTTTTCAATTTGAAATATGTATTGAAGCATTAATATCGATAACAATCGATTCTGAGGCAAGCTCATGCTTCAACATATCCCGAAACTATATGAGCTATATTTTTAATATACATTCTTCCAAGCCGTATGCAAAGTTATTCTAATCTTCTTTTTATAGATATGCCTCCTGCTTAAATAATATCGATAACAATCGATTTTGAGATATGCTCTTTTTTTAGTATAACTCCAAATATTAAAGAGCTATATTTGAAATTCGAAATATATATTCTCCTAAGCCATATGCAAAGTTATTTTAGTTTTCTATCTATAGATATGCCTTCAGCTTAAATAATATCGATAACAATCGATTTTGAGGTATGCTCTTTTTTTAGCATAACTAGAAAACTGCCAAACCTGGCATTTAGGCTATCGTGTAGTATACACAGATTACAAATATATCAAATATATATATATATAGCACTCTTGACTTCTATAGTTTGCAAAGAAGAAGAACGAAAATATTCTCGGCTAGGGCATACGCAAGACAACCAACAAAGTTGAACCCTTAAGCTAAACTATTAGATGTGGATTTTAGTGTTGAACGTTCTTATTGTTCTTATTGCCGTGTTGCTCTAGCCGCTGGGGCAGAATAGTATAAGCATTGTTGTTGTTGTTGTTGTTGTTGTTGTGGTTGCTGCTGGCATTGTTGTCGTAAATGTTTAAACGAGCCACACGTCGAGCAACAAGAAATGAAAATAGTTCATAATCCCCATTGATTGCAGCGCAGACACCACACACACACACACACCCCACCCCACCCTATACACACACACACGCCTACTTTCAAACAATGCAATGCTAAGTGGCAAGTGCAGCAGCAGCAGCAACAACAAGAACAACAACAACAACAATAACACAGAAGCAGCAGCAGCGGCGGCAACAGCGGAAAAAGCTGAAGCTCAGCAAAAACCAAGTTCAATCTTGAATGTCACACCAACAACACACACACACACACACACCAACAACACACACACACACACCAACAACACAACACACACACACCAACAACAACACACACACACACTACATATCATCCATTTGAAAGCTTTCACTTTACATTTCTTGAAATGTTATTTTCTAAATATATGTAACAAATGTCCAAAATATTTTTGCAACTTCTTTAATTTAATTTTTGATTTACTTATTTAATTTTAATATTAATTAATATTTTTTGCAACTTCTTTTATTTATTTTTTATTTACATATTTAATTTTAATATTAATTTATATTTTTTGCAACTAATTTTATTTAATTTTTTATTTACTTTATTAATTCTAATATTAGTTTATATTTTTTGCAACTTATTTTATTTATTTTTTTATTTACTTATTTAATTTTAATATTAATTTATATTTTTATACCCTGAACCCATTGAAAATGGTTAAAAAGGGTTTAATGTATTTGTAACTGGCAGAAGAAAGCATCTCCGACCCCATGAAGTATATATATTTTTGATCAGGATCGATAGCCGAGTCTAGATCTAGAGCTAGAGACTTGATTTTGAGGTGTAGTAACTGCGCAGTACGGGTTAGTTTCCGCTAATCGATCACTTGTCCAAGCAATCGATAAAAATCGATATCTAAATTCTGCTTATGTTTTTTCTCATTGTTTTCAGAGCTCGAGTCACCAAATTTGACATGTAGCTTCTAGAATAGTATATATGAATATATCAAGTATCTTTCATTTTTAGGCTATCGCAGGTTTCAGGGTATCCCCTGAGACGGGAACTGCCACATAGAGCCCCTTACTTGTTTCTATATATAATATTTTGTTATTAATTTTTGTGTGAAGAGAAAAGAAAAGGTAAACTCGAGAAGATAGTATAATTCAAATTTAGTTTCTAGCTATTGTACCTTTCGAGATTGACGATTTTTCCACACACGAACAAATGGACTTAGATCTTCATTCGGATTAAGTATATAAGTGTACAGGCAGATCATATGTGAAACGTATGTAGGGTATCGCCACGTTGAGACAGCTTAGTGCAAGGCTTATTCTTGGCAGCCAGATTATTGAATTGTTTTGATGGACTGCGATGTCTCTATCAGTCCGATCAGTCAGATAGGCGAATGCATAAATGAAGTCCAAGCAAACAATGGAACAATGACAATTTTGGACAATCCACTTGGCCTAATCTAATCTGCAAGCGAAGCTAAGCCAAAAGTCAGTTCTTTGTCAGTTCTTTGTCGTCGAAGTTTGGGCAGTTGAAAAGTTGCCACCGTCGCGACAAGATGAAGTGCTCCAGGCGATTGCTGGCCGGTTTGACGCTGCTGCAGGTGATCCTTGCGTGCGCTGGTTTGGAATGCTATGCCTGCGATTCGGCCGAGGATGCGGAGTGCGCCACCCGACCCGGCCAACAGCTGGAGGTGGAGGAGTGCAGCCAACCGAGCGACGAGTGCGTCACCTCCATTGCGGCGGGCGTAACGCGACGCGGCTGCCTCCGACGCCTCTATCCGAACGGCTACTGTGCCGAGCCCTGCGATCGCTGCAACACCAGCCTGTGCAATCGACATGTCTATCCCACGGATCGACTGCGCTGCTATCAGTGCAGCGGCGCCGACTGCATCGATGTCAGCGCACGGCCGGAACTGTTGCTGCCGTGTCCCGTTTACAGTTCGGAGGATCGCTGCTATACGAACATTTTGCATTTGAGCAACACGCAACGCGGCTGCGAGCACACGAATCTGCCCGTTGGCTGTCCGCACGTGTGCCTCAAGTGCAACTACAACGGTTGCAATGCGGAACGCACCGTCACCGAGAGCCGCTGTCTGCAGTGCACCTCGGATCGGCTGTCGCCGAATGCGGACTGTCAGCGCGAACAGGTGCCCGCCGAGGCGGACAAGTGTGCGCTGAGCAATGCGACGGTGACGCAGTGCGTCAACAAGGTGATGCTGGGCCATCGGGAACGCTGCTACACGCATCGCAACAGCCAAACGGAGGTGCTGCAGCGCGGCTGCTCCACCACGATGGGCTTCTTTCCCACCGGCGAGCTGCATCAATGCTATGGCGACAATTGCAATGCCCAGTGCCAGGACATTGCCTGTGCCACTTGCAACTCGACCAGCGATCCCAATTGCCGCACTGGACACGCCCTCAAGAGTGAACCGTGTGCAGCGGGCACCACTGCCTGCTATTCGTGCGAGCAAGGTTAGGGTGAGTCCGGCGCTGGTACAGTCGCTGAGTCAGTTAAATGAACTAGTTTCAATTGTGAACCAAAATAAGCTTGTCCAGCTAACAAATTGCCCAGTTAAGAAACGTTCCTTTCATTTCTCCTAATATTATTTAGTTAAAGTTAAATCAACCAGTTCCAATTATGAACCCAACTATTAATTGTCTTTCCTTTGAGCTTTTCAAGGTAACAAATTGTCAATTTAAGAAACATTCTACTAGTTCTTCTGTTGAGTTGAATAAGTTAAAGTTAAATGAACCAGTTCCAATTGAGAAACAAAATGAGCTTGTCATTATTAATGAGTTAAAGTTAAATGAGCTAGTTCCAGTTGTGAACCAATTTTTCTTATTCCTAATTTGAGCTTATCAAGTTATCGAATTGTCAAGTAAAGAAAGATTCCTTAAGCTATTGAACCAGTTCCAATTACGAACCAAATTGTTTTTTGTCTTTCCTTTGTTTAATCTTTTCAATTTAACAAGTTCTCATGTTAAGAAACATTCTTCTAGTTGATTTTAAGCTAAATAAGTTAAAGTTAAAAGGACTTGCTCCAATTGTGAGCCAAACAGTTTCTCAATTATTATCTTGATGTTCAGAAAACTGTTTAAAACATCAAGTAATTGATAAATATACATATATTGAAGTTGCTTCAGTATATTCCTGATTTAAATAAGATACAATTTTATTGGACCTCAATTAAAGAAAGAAGTTGAAGAACTGTGTTTGCATATGCTAGAATTTAATGGAATATACATCTTTGACTTTTGGCCATGCTGAGGTCCTGGATTTTTGATTTAATTACAAGACAATTTATCAAGATTTTTCAAAAAGGTGGAACACAGCGTTATCTGTGGAGTTTGGAATATCAAGAATTATATAAATTGGTTTATTCAAAAAATTTCAGTTCCGAAAATAAGAAATAATCATAAGTTATAGAGCTAAGACGTAATTGGTTTCGAACTCAGTTGAATTCATAAAATATACAGCCGCAGCCAACTTAATGCAGACATAATTGTGCCCTTTTTATAGCCATAACTAACTGTTTGTAATTGGCTCTCAACTCAGTTTTATTTCACCATATAACCAGCCGCAGCCAACTTAATCGATCGTCATATTTGTAGCCAAAACTAGCGACTACTTTACTTGTATTTTCTTCAGCTTGTAATTGGCTCCGAACACTGTTTTATTTCACAATGTTACCAGCCGCAGCCAACTTAACACACACATCATCTTTTGGTGCTGCCAGATCGTCATTTTCTTAGCATAAACCTAGCACACTTGTAAACAATTTGTTTTTATTTTTTCCATTCGCAGATACGCTGCTGCGTCGCGGCTGCGCCGATGCGAATTTCGTTGCCGGCGCAGGTGAGGCATGCCAGCTGTGCCGCAGCGGCGATGGGTGCAACCGTTGGTCGGTGCGCAGTTGCTATCGGTGCAATTCGCAGGAGCAGGGCGACGACTGCGCTGCCATGGAGCAGCCGATGGGGATGACATTGAGCAACTGCAGCAGGCCGGCCGAGCTGTGCGTCAGCACGGTCATCAGCCGGCTGCAGTTGGTCTACACGGTGCGGGGCTGTGCGGGCGAGGTGCCCGAGTGCAGCGCCAATGATCCCTACTGTGTACGCTGCAATGGCAGTCTGTGCAACAATGCGCCCACCAAATGGGCCACGGGCCAGCAGCAGCTGCAGCTGACAGAGAAGGGGGCGGGGGCGGGGGCGGGGGCGGATTCAGTAAGGGGCGTGCTCGAGCAGCTGTGGCAGAATCTATGAGTAATTAGCAACAACAAAGCAATTATTTGAAAGCATTTAGATGAATAAACAATGAGCGACAAAAATTTAAGCTCCAACTAAATAACATGCCGCCCAACCACCCCCTACTAGCAGCTGCACCAACACCCCCCCCCCCCCCGCCACCCCTCAAACATCACTTCGCCCCGCAGGCAAATAAAGCAGAAATGTTGATAAGCCCGCCGGCCGGACGGACGGATGTGGAGGATGTGAGGAGGAGGCGGCGTTGGCGGTTGCCAACCGGCACAAAAACGCCCCTCGACAGCGAAAGAGAGACAAAGACACAAAGAGAGCGGGCGCTGCAAGAGAGCAAGAGAGCGGGTGGAGGGAGGCACTCAATAAGAACAGGGCTGGGCAAAACAGGGCTGGGCAAGTAGCTGCCAATTGAAAGGTTGCAGCGAACTGGTCTTTGCTTAAACATTTATAATTATTGAGGAATTACAAATATTTTAATATTATTTATTATTTAAATATATGTGCACGCTTCGATTCCATTTAGCTCAAATTTCGAAACACATTTTTGCACACTAAATAAAATTGAGAGATTAAACTATTTAAATAAAAAATGAAAAGATTTCCAAAACCAACACTAAAGATAAATCTTAATCTTTAAAAGTATTTTAGAACATCTATAAGTTAACTAATGTTTAAAGAAAGATATTCATTCAAAAAACTGAACAATTTAGCTATTAATCATGAATGATAATACAAATAATAATATTTATAATAATACATAAGTAATTTTGATGTTAACCATGAATAATTTTATAAATAATTTAAATTATAACAATAATAATATATAAATAAATAATAATAATATATTAATATATTTATTATACATTTTAATGTATTAAGTGAACTGGTTCATTTGAACGAGCTTGACACCTCGCAGCAATTAGCTGCATTTGTGAACCAGCTCTGAAGTGGTTATCAATTGCATAAAAATGCAGTGTTGCCAGTTAAGCATTGTGCTAGCTAAATTTGTCATTGTCTTTAGTAGAAAACAGTTCAGAAATATTTAGACAAACTTTGTGCTCAAAAAGCCAATTCAGTCTTTTTTTTAAATTGCATTCATCTATAATACATTTTTTTTAAATCGGCAGTTGACAACACTGGCAGCATGTATATACACGAATTGAACTAGATCAAACGGAGTTATGATCTAAAAAGAATTGACGTGTCATGCTCTGCAGTACAGTATTATCCAAATGATCATATGGATGATTCCAATTCCACAGAATCAAACATTCCACGCACATATCAAACATTTGTAACGAGTTTCCTGGTAATTTGCGACATTAAATACTTAAAATACCGAAAAAAAAATAAAGCGAACCAAAAACACAAATGAACCGTATTAATTCTGTTTGGCACATTTGACTGAATCTATGTTTGAGAACGGAAGAGATTCAAATTACAGTTAAAAAAAAAAATAATAAATAAACAAAAATAAATGCAAATGGTGACAAGAAATTCTCAATTTCGTTCTCAATTGTTCTGGACGCAACTGTTATTTATAAATAAATAAATTTATATTTGTAAATATACATACAAAAATGTTGAGAGATAAGCAGACTTTGCTTTATCAAGGTACAGCTTAAAAGCCGAGTTATTTGATAGTAAAACGGAATACACAATGTATACAACACTCGCATATCGATGCGAACTATTCACGGTTCACAATTTGTAAACAAACATAGAGCACATACATATATATCACGATGTGTAGAAAATGCAATAAATTATATTCAAATAATTTCCCATTCCAACAGCGATATATATATTCCTGATCAGGAAGTTATTTAAATGTCTCCTCATTAGTTGAGCTAACAACCAGTTGTTCGGGAAACTGGAATAACAAGGTTCTGGGTTCGAATCCCCAGGCTTGTGTATGGAGGTAGTCTGTCTGTCTTAACTCATAACCTTTAACCATATCTCTATAACTACTTATATCAATATCCAGTATTACAATATATATATGCTATATTCTCTGTATTAAAAAGAAGAGAAAGTGGTACTTAAGTATAGTTTTGGTGTAGTACTTTTCTTCTATTATGCGAATGGGTAAAAGTGTATGTCCTTGTATGAATTTAAGAAGGCATCTTCAACTTTATAAAGTAGATATATTCTTGATCAGGTCTAACCATGTCCGTCTGTGAGAACGCTTCGATCTCGGGAAGAACTACACAAAAGCTAATGTCTTGAAATCTTAAATATATTATATTCCCATATGCCCTACGCAGAACGAGTTTATAATTTTATTCGATAACGTCCCCCAACCATTTTGAAACTTGTTTTCTTAAGCATAGAGCTACTTTTACATAATTGAAGAATATTTCAATTTTTGAACAACTTCCAATTTAATCAACTATATTTGGGTGCCATATTAATGCCTCAGAAAATACACCAAAAAAATCGGAATATAAGCTCCGAGTACTCAAGAATTTCCCATGCTGAGCATCAGGCGGCGTGCTGTGCGCTATTTCCAGGGTATATCCAAGTTGAACATACTCGATCAGAAAACCTACCACTTATTTCATAGTAGCCAACAGATTTGCTATTTTACTTTTTGTTTTAAGATAAGCGCTCAGTACGTTACAATAAATTGTTTAAATTTATTTTACAATGACAAAAATCGTTTATCAGTATGTTTTCCCAAGCAAAAATGTTGTTCAGCAACAAACAATTACCGCAATTAAAGTGCATATCGTCTTCATGATTTACCAATTCGATTATTTCTTTATTCAATTAACGAATTCAACCAATTTGAACCGGTTCAGTTCAGAGCTGCGCCTAGTGGCAAATGAGACAGAAATTATGCACGCATTTAAATCGAAAACTGTTTGTGAAGCTTTTATTGCCGTTGCTTTGTTGCACACGTGCACCCAAATCATAACTGTTATTATTGTTCTCCCGTTAGAATGGATAATCAAATGATGGGCGCTACAACAACAATCGCAAACTGACAGCTGCGCCCCGGAGGGAAGTGCGAAAATATAAGTAAAATATATATATATGTATATATGTATATATATATATATGAATGTATATATATGTATGAAAAATAAACATTGCCAATTTGCGGCGTGTGTCTGCGCGGGGCACGCTGCTGCGCCATGGTGCTGCGCCATGGTGCTGCAGTGGGGAGTGGGCGGGGGTGAACGCTGCCAACGATAATTAAGTTGTTATCCGCCGCGCAACAAAACTGCTGCTAAATTTATTAATTGAATTTGTGCGCAGGTTTTCGCAGGTTTTCCCAGTTGCCACAGAGCGAGTCAAATAGAGACAATCTGACAGAGACAGAGAGAGAGAGAGGGCGGGGAGGATGCCCGGAAAGGTTATCACAGCACGGGCGTCCACGAAACTCAATTATATGCAACGTGTTTTGATTGATAGCATAAGCGGCGAGGGGCGGGAGCAGCATTTGGCTGTGCGCCGATAACACAAAATGTCAAAGATGCAAAACAAAAGCTTAGCGTAAAGCAGGAGCAAGTTTTGTCTGAGATAGAGAGAGAGAGAGAGAGCGAACGAGAGAGCGAGAGCATACAAAGTGAGCGACAGAGTGGAGTGACATAGAGCGAAAGACGGAGCGGGCGCGACATTTTAATTAGCTTGCTCTGTGGGCGTGTGGGTGTGTGTATGTGTGTGTGTGTGTGTGTGTAGGTGCGAGCGTGAGTGTGCATGTAAGTGTGGCCAAACAATGGCATAAATATTACGCCATAACAACAACAACAACAACAGCAAGAAGTATAAGAAGCAAACAGTTGCCAGATATGACGACGGCGACAAAGTTCAGTAACAACCCTCTCACACACATGCACATACACAACGTTTATTGATTGCAGGACTCCCAAGCCGCAGTTTTAAGTTTCTTTTCCATTTCGAGTGGAGCCGTTTTGTGGGTGGGCTAGACAACTCGCACTCTCTCACTCGCTCTCGTGTTTCGTTGTCGTTGTCGTTGCGGGGCAGGGCGGGGCACGGCAAACAGGTCAAACATGAAGGAAGCTTCTTTTTTTTTCATTTTTTTTTTTCTTTCTTTTTGTTTTAGCATTAACACTAGGCTACAAGAGTGCCATACTTACACCTCGAGTATGCGATCGCCTTTTTTGATGCCAGCCTTCTCGGCGGCGCCATTCTCCAGCACAGCGCTAACATGCTGCAGCGGAGCGTACAGTTCACCGTTAATGGAACGCAATTGTCCGCCCTCGGACACCTGTCCGCGCACATTGAAACCGAAGCCAGTTTCCGTCTTGTAGATGGTAACGACGCGCGGTCCATTGGCGGCTGTGATGGTGGTGCTGCTGCTGCCGTTGTTTTCGCTCATTGCTGTGCCGCCGGTAAGCTCCAAGAAGAGCACAAACAACAAACAACACACACGCACACGCACACGCACGCACGCTCACTCACACACACACAGTGGCACGAGGCTGCTGCTGCTGCTGCTGCTGGTGTTGTTATTTTACACAATTTTGCTATGTTTTTGCGTAACTTTTGTTTTTTTGCAACTTCTTTTTACACACAAACATTCGCGCGCGCACACGCTCAACGTAACCGAACGTACATGAATATAAATACAAAAACACAAATACAAATACACATACAGGCAAAGGCAGGCGGCGACGGCGACGGCGACAGCGACGGCAGCCACTTTTACTTTCCGCAAACCATACAAAAAACAAAAAATAATAATAATAATAATAATAAATAACACGGAAACTCGCAAATCGCAGCAACTCGCAACTGCAACAGAAATTGGTATCACACGCCGTTTGATGAGTGAATCTATGTGAGTGTGTTTGTGTGTGTGTGTGTGTGTTATGGGGCTAGCGACTGCAATTGGATATGGTTTGCATTGCGTTAAATGTTAACAGCAAACAACGTGCGTAGTGCACATTAATTTTGCATATTGCTTCTGCTTTCCTTAATTCACTTTTGCTTTTGCCTTTGCCTTCGCCTTTGCCACTCGCCCAACAACTGTCAGCCGCTAGTGTTGGGTTTGTCCATTAGGTGACTGTTTGATGAACTAATCTGTGCAAATGAGCTGCCTCATTCTTGGCTGGTTCTTTTTTGGAGTGAACTGCGAGTCAGTGTTTAGCACGACAGAATGGCAACGCTATGTGACGGTGCAAAAAAGATGACATAAAAAATGGTATATTTAATATAATTTCGCAAGATTTTTATAAAAGCATATGTAATTTATTATCTTAATCATAATATTGCTGATTTCCATTACAAAATAAATATTAACTCGATAGTTTGGCTGACAATTATTGATCCGATGAACTAGTTATCGATTGCAGTCAGCTGGCATTTGATTGCCAACTTTTGTGAATTGTAGCGGCGATTTTTTGATAAATTGTGCCCAGTTATGCATTTTGATTTTTGAAATTCCATATCACACTTTGCAGCTGCATATAAAACAATGCAGCAAGTTTTATTAAAATACAAAACGCCCGCCAATTATTCGATAACATATGCCTGAGGTTTTTGAACATGTTGCGAATATAACCTAAAAAATTTTAGATTCTTAAGACCTGAAAGCTGCAATTGAGGTAAAACTGTTTGTGTGTCTTATAATATTACAAATACCAATATGAAAGACAAAGTCTGGGGTCTTTAGGGGCTACAGGATTATTTCCGAAAATGCGGATAAAAGAAAAATGTACAAGAATTGCATGATCATATTGATTTTATAGATTGTTAAATATATGTATAGGACTATTATTAATGTTAAGTCGACAAAGATCTTGAAATTTTCGCTTGAGTTTATCATCGAACATTTTTCATTTTGCTGTGCTACAGAATAAATAATACAGTTATTTCAATAGTAAACCAAGATTATCCTCCATATAATTAGGCTATTCGAGTCAGGGTGGTGGGTGGGGGAAGGTGGGGACTGTGTTTACACAGGGGCGCATTCATATCATACATGGGCTTCACTGCCGCGGCGCAGCCCACCGAGTGGGGGTCATGGCAGCCGTGGTAGGCGCGTAATGTAGCATGTCTTGTCTATTTGTGGGGGCGGGGGGGGGGGGGGGGATGTTGGGGACAGAGGGCAAAAATAAACAATAAATGGTTGGACAAATTTGATTAGAAGAAAACGCCAAATGGCACACAAAAAATAAATTGTAAGCAATACTTTTTATTCAATTTGCAGCCAAATGTCGAGCTGCTGTTTTTTGTTGTTGTTGCCTATGAAATTTGTTAAATATGCTATTTTATTAAAAATATTTAATGCTCTTGAACGTATGTAACAAAAACAGGCACACGCACACGCACGCACACAGTCACACTCGCGTCTTTCTAACGGTAACTCTCGCCTCGTCTCTCGCCTATGAACAGTGTGCAAAAACGCGCAAATTGAAATAAACAAATATATCGATAACAAATGTTTGCGTTTAAAAAACAGATTTTCTTTTTCGTTTTCTCATTTTGTTTATATATATATATATATATATGTATGGTATATGTAATGTATGTATGTAACTGCATTGCAATTTGTTAAAAGTATAAGTGTGTATATGTGTGTGTGTGTGTGTGTGTGTGTGTGTGTGTTTGTATGTATGTACACATCTACGTTGAAATTGCTGCATAAAAACTAAAATCTAAAATAAAACTTAGTGTTAAAAAAAAAAAAACGTTATGAACAAAAAAAAACTTTTCGCCTAGAACAGATTTATGTATAAATATATATGAAGATATATAGATCAATAATTAAGTCAACTCCTGCTAAATACAACAATAAAAAATCACTTACGAAAAACAAATTTTTTATAATTATTTGAATAATTTAAAAACCTGACGAATCGAGCTGATCGCTTAAAAAAAAAAAAAGGAAATACATTTTTTATGAATTATATTGTACAGCTCAAACGGTTAAAAGTCGAACGCGGTATTAGAATAGAAAAAGTGTGTGTTTTAATTAAAAAATAAACATTAAATGTGATTTTCTTTTTTTGTTGTTTTTTTCTTTTGTTTTTCGCTTAAGCCTAAAGCCTTTATAATAATATATAAGATATATGATTTGTTTGATTTGTTTGATTTGTTTTGTTGTTTTGTTGTTTTGTTGTTAGCAGGCTTTTACGAACTGAAGTGGTTTTTATGCTTACTTGGCTAATACAGTTATTAGGCTATAGACTAAATCGACTAACAACTAATTACATACTCTAATGGGCTACAAATTGTTTTTAATTCTTGCATACATTTGCTTTAACTTTACACGTAATGTAACTAATTTTTGTTTATTTTAATTTTAAATTAATTTTTTTTTTTTTCATTTTGTTTTAGCTGACTTAAAGTTAGGTATTATTTTTTTGTTTATGCTTAGAATTAACTTTTGTTTTGTTTTGTTGTTGTTGTTGTTGTTGCTGTTGTTTGTTTGTTTTTATGCTTAACAACTACATAAATACAGCCCCTATACAAACCCTAAGAAAAAAAATATAATATATATATATAGAAATCGGTAATTATGTAAACCCCACGACACAGAATAATTTGCTCACGACAATTTCACTATATACAAATGTGTAGGTGTGTTATTGTGGTGTTGTTGTGTGTGTTGTGGTGTGTGTATTTTGCTGTTTGCACTCGAATTTGGGAATTGACACACTTAATATATATATATATATATATATATATATACATATATATTAGATCATTTCTGGTTTGGCCAGGCGCGCTGCTTCCTGCTTAATCTTAAGCTTTCATAATAGACTTTATATAGGCTACACACACACACATATATATATATATATATATATAAATTGGATATATATCTATAGAATTATGTATATATATATATATATGTGTGTAGCTAAACCTAACACTGCGGTTCAGTTAACGGCTGCTGTTGTTGTTGTTGTTGGTTGTTGTTGACATCACAGACATGTTGCATGTTGTTGTTGTTGTTGTTGTTGTTGTTGTTGTTGTTGCTGTTGCTGTTGTTGCTACTTGTTGCACGCTCAGTTCCATAGCAGCCAACGTTAACTCTTTGTTATCTCGAGCTGCTGCTGATTCCGCTCCCACCACTCCTGTATGCTGTTGACCATTTGGTGTCGCCGGAAGCGCATCGATTCCGTGATGCACATGTCTATGAAATCGGACTTCATCTCCTGGTCGCCCTTCATCAAATTCAAATGCTCCAGCAGTTGGCTGTAATCCCGACCTGGTCGTCGTATATCACGAAAAATTTGCAAACGCAAATCCACATTATGTTTGCGCGCCGCTTCGCGCTGATCCTCGCTGAGGAGGATGCGTTCCGGCGAGCTCGCGATCTCGCCGTTATTATCGTTATCGTTATCGTTATCATTATCATTATCGTTGCTGTTGTTGTTGTTGTTATTGCTATTATTATTATTGTTATTGTTGTTAATATTGCTATTATTATTATTGTTGCTGTTGCTGTTGGTGTTGTTGTTATTGCTATTGTTGTTGCTGTTGCTGCTGTTGGTGTTGGTGTTGTTGCTGCTGTTGCTGCTGTTGGTGTTGGTGTTGTTGTTGCTGTTGCTGTTGGTGTTGGTGTTGTTGTTGCTGTTGTTGTTGCTGTTGTTGCTGCTGCTGTTGCTGACGTGCGTCGGCGATGCTTTTGGCTCCAGTTTGGGGCTGCTGTTGCCGTAAGTTCTGCTATGAAAGCTGCTGCTGCTGCTGTTGATGTTGCTGTTGTAGTGGCTCAGGCCGCTGCCCCAGTAGAAATGCGGATTGCTAGCAGTTGTTGCGCTGCTGCCGCCGGCTGTGCGCTTCAGTGCATCAAAGCAGTTAACAGCTATGTTGTCCACTTCAGGATCATGGCCATTGCCCTCGCTGGCATTGCCGTTTAAAGTGTTGCTGCCGCTGCCGATGCTGTTACTGTTGCTGCTGCTGCTGTTGTTGCTGCTGCCGCTGCTGCTGCTGCCGCTGTTGTGGCTGCTGCTGCTGCCGCTGTTGCCGTTGTGGCAGGTTTGCAATATGCGCGAGATCTCGGAGGCATCATTGATATCATTATGACTATAATAGGTAGGTGTTGTTGCTGCTGTTGCTGCTGTTGTTGAGCTGCTGCTGTTGGTCGTTGCTGCTGCTGCGGTTGCTGACGCCGCTGCTGCTGTGGCAGCTGGTGCGGTCACGGCCGGCGGCGACAGCATCGCCGCATGCTGACTCGTATAGCCGTTGGCCACCAGCAACAGCGGCGGCATTGCTGCTGCGCCTGCGCCAACCTTATGCATTGCCGTTGTTGCCTCCAGCATGTTCATGGCATTGTCGAGGGGCACGTGCGTTGCGCCCACATTGCTGCTGTACGCCGGATGATGCTGCATGGTCAGCCCGTTGAGCGGCACATAAAAGACGCCGCTGCTGCTGTTGCAGGCGCTGCTGCTGCTGATGCTGCTGCTGTGATTGCTGGCATAGCTTATGCTGCTGCTGCTCGGCTCGGGCGCGCCGTTGCTGACGGCTGCAATTGCTGCCAGGCTGCTGCTGCTGCTGCTGCTGGCTGTTGCCGCCAGCGTTTCCGTCGTGGCAGTTGCCGCTGCGATGCTGCTGCTGCTGTTGCTGTTGCCAGCGCTGCTGCTGCTGCCGCCGCCGCCGCTCCCGCTGCTGCTGCTGCTGCTTATATTGCTGCTGCTGGCGGGGCTACTGCTGCTGCTGTTGTTGTTGTCAACTTCGTTGGCGCGCTCCTCGTCGCTGATGCCGTTGATAAAGTTGTGCACATAACCATTGAGCGGCATCTCCTGCTCGCCGGTCTCCTCCTCGCTGAAATCAAAGCTCATGCGTTCCGGCGTATGCGGACCCAGCGACAAGCCTGAGTCATTGTTGCCGGCGTCAATGTTGCCCGAGTCATTGTTGCCGCCGCCGCCGCCGTTGCTGCTGCTGCTGCTGCTGTTGATGCTGTTGATGCTGTTGATGCTGTTGATGCTGCTGCTGCTGCTGATGGACGCCTCGGATGCATAGCTGCTGTTGCTGTCCTCGTCGAGCAGCAGCAGCTCGGAGACGCTGCTGACCGCGGAGCTGGGGCTGGCGCTGCCGCTGCGCAATGAGTCCATGGACATGCGCCGGAACTCGAAGGCGCGCGGCAAGGGACCCGCCTTGCGTTTGCGACCGCGTGTTGTAGTCTCCAGCTTCTTGGAGCTGAAACCGCCCATGGGCCCGCCCAGGCCAATGCTGTGGTGGCTGCTGCTGCTGCTGCCGCCGCCGCCGTTGTTGTTGTTGCCGTTGCCGCCGCCGCCGAGCATTAGGCCGGACATGCCGCCAACAACTGAACCCATGCCGCCGCCAGAATTGCCGGAGGAGCCGCCGCCGCCGCCGCTGCCGCCGGATGTGGGCGAGTGGTTGCCATTGCCGCCATGGGAGCTCTGCTTCATGGGCGCCACATCGCTGAGATCGGCCTCGTCGACCATGACCATGTGCTTGTCCTTCTTATAGGGATTGCCGAACATGTGCTGGCGCACATTCGTTGGCTCGATTTCGCGCAACGGATTGTCCTTGTTCTTGAGATACTCCTGATAGTTGCCCATTTCGGCGATGGGCAGACAATGGCCCGAATCCTTGGCCACCAGGCTGGCGGGTCGCAAAAATGTCTCCCGCATCCGAGCAATCTCATCGACCAGATCCCGACGTGGTATATCGAACGGATTGCGATACGTTTTCGCCGACGACTGATGCGTCAGCTGGGGCACAACGATCGTATAGTTCTCGACGGGCTCGATTTCGGCATGGAGCTTGGCGAACGTGTCGCGCAACAGCGGATGCCGGACGAGATCGCGACGCAGTGCAGCGCCCGTGCACAGTTTGGCCGTCTCCACCTGGCGATAGGGCGGCTTTGGCTGCTTCAGCTGCTTGTAGACCTTCAGACAGAGATTCTCCTGATCCTGTTTGGCCGTGTTCTTGATGTGCTTCAATTGATTCGCTATCGTCGGCGACAAATAGTTGTCCACATTCTCCGGCAGCAGGAACTGCAGCAGCTGGTACGGCACATTGATGTTGACCAGCGCCTTGCGCAGAAACGGACAGTAATAGGGCGGTATGGAGCGCACATAGGCATTGAACTTGTACATGAGATCGTTGGGCGGACTCATGTTATACTTGTGGATGAGGTCGTGCAGCAGCGGCAACAGCGCCGGATAGTTGTAGGCCAGCACGTATAGATGCACCTGTGTGAAGTTCGGCGATGCCTTCAGATAGCCGAAGGGCAGCTCGAATCCGTGCATCCCATTGGTGACGATCACCTGCCAGCACTTGTTCATCTCCCGCTTGTTGAGTATCTGCAGCGTTAGGGGGCAGCCCTCGATCTCGTACTTGTCCACCGGAAAGCTGCGCACCAGCTGCGGCTCATCGACGGCGGGCGTTAGGATCTTCAGCTTCGGATGGGCATCACGCGGCGGCAACGTGATGGCCTTCGAGTCCGGCCAATAGGGCTCCGGCAGCGGCCAATATCCGATGGGGAAAGTCTTTTGTGTGATATGCTTTTGCACATAGATCATCTTCTTGATCGGCTGGAAGACAATGTCCGGCGTCGGCTCATTCGATGTGGATGTGGCAGCTGTCGAGCTGCTGGCGCCGCCGCCGCTGTTATTATTGTTGCTGCTGCTATTATTATTATTGTTGTTGTTGTTGCTGTTGCTGTTGTTGTTGCTGCCGCTGCTGCTGCTGTTGCTGCCGCTGCTGTTGCTGGTGTTGCCATTGTTGCCGCTGCCCCCGCTCGACTCCTTGGGCACCATGGGCTCGAATTGCAGCACAACACCGGGCTGAACCTTCTGCACCAGACTCTCGATGCACTGATTGAGCACATAATGGCTGCGGACGCGATAGGACCGACCGCCGGTTACCTCGCACATGCGCTCAATGGGTGAATCGTCGTGGGGCACCTTTCCGTCGACACGTTCATCGATTTTATTGCCCGGCATGCGCAATACGAGCGAGAACAGACGCTGATCCCAGCGGAAGGGCTCTTTGGTGAATTTGGTGCCCGGTATTTGATTGCTTAGCGGTAAAATGATCTCCTGATGGACGCCATTGCGATAGGAGTAGCGACCACCGTCGGTGATCACAATAATGACCGATGGCTCCAAATAGAACGGACATCGTCCCTGGCCGTATGTATCGATGCCCGACTGCATCCGATTCAGGTTGAGCAAGTCGAAGGCGTTGCGCAGCGATTCGCCCATTGAGGTGAGGCCGTGACTTTGCAGATTTTTCAATTCATTCATGAATGTGGCATGATTCTCCTTCCAGCCGGCCTTCACATTCGCCGGCGGCTCCTCGAACGTGAGCAGCATATAACGATCACCGAGACAATCCTGGGTCCGTTGACGATATTTGAGGAACGTCTCGACGGCACCTTTGGCTATGTCCAGATACGTTTTTTGCACACCATTCACATACGCCTTCTGGCACATGGACGACGAGGTGTCCACCAGGAAGAGTATGATTGTCATGGCTGCCAATGCCCGACTCTACACACTCACGCCTATGCCGTTGCTCTGAACACTCTTTGGTCTACCTAAAAAAAATACACATTTTTTTTGTTTTAAATACAAAAAAAAAAAAATGCATAAACAAAAAAATAACCGCATGAGTTAAAAACAAATAATTTGATACACACACGCGCACAAACACACACACACACACACACACATGCGTGGACACGCTGTGATTAGTGAGCGCATTAAATGCAAACTTAATTTACCGTTTCTTGCGCTTTGGAGAGTCTATTTGAGCTCAATGCAGCTGCAGTTTGTGAGTGAGTGAGCGAGCAAGCAAGCGAGCGAGAGGAGAGCGTAGGTAGGTATTGTCTGTGTAATTGTTGAGAGTTGTGGGTGTGTTGTGCAGAGTCGTCGTCTTCTTCTTCTTCTTCTCTTTTAACTACTGACTGTTGCACATAGCTCTTCTCCAACACTTATCCGTTACTTGTTGTTGTCGTCTCTGTTGCAGCAGTTGGTGTTTTTTTTCTTCTTTTTGGTGTGTTTTTGTCTGTGTGTGTGTATGTTGTTGTTGTTGTTTTTTTTTACAGCTCTCTTGACTTTGTTGCTGCTGCTGCTGCTGCTGCTCTTTCTCAGTGATTGCTAGCAGCGTGCTTCTTTCTCCTGATGTCCTGGACTTAAGCGATTTGCTCTTTTTCTTCGTTTCACTGTGCCGCTTTTATAGTACATGTTGCGTGAAACAGCTGACATTTGGATTTGAAAAGTACCAACAAACTCTGCAATGAAACGAGAGACAAAAAAACAAAAAAAAATTGATGGAAAGAGAATGGAAAAAAATATCAGTCAATTACAATTCGTATGTTGCGCATACGCACTGTGGTGCGACAGTGAAATTAAGCAAACACAAACGAAGTCGAGCTAAGTTTTGTAATACACACGAACACACACACAAACACACGAACGCACGACAGATAGATACGCATATACATATACATTCATATACATATGCATATATGTATATGTATGCATCTATCACCTTCGCAATCACTGATAATGCTCAAGCCAACGGAACTCAAACACATACATATACAGACACACAAACAAGAACACGCACAATTTGGACAATAAATGTGCTAATTTTGCCTGAAGAGCTTCTGACTGCGACTTTAAAGCTCGATCGCTCGCTCTCTTTTTTTCATTTTTCTTCTCTCTCCCTCTCTCAAGTTGTCGTCTTATATGCGCATCCCCGCGCTCTGGGTTCTGGAAACAAAAACAAAAAACAACAAAAAAAAAAAAACGGTTTGACACAAATTCAGGCCAAACAGCAGACAATCGACTCCGAGACGCCCTCTGCCACAGCCAGTTAGTTATTTCGGCTGCTCTACAAAAGTCATTCATTTACTCTACACTTGGCTAGTATGTGATCGCGATTGGGATTGCGATCGCTCTGTTGGCATTAGAGATGAGCGTGAGCGTGAGCACATTGATCAATTCACGAGATCCACATGCACGATCATGCTGATAAGTGTGTGTATATATACTACATATATTTATGCAAATATATATTCTTTTGTATGCGTCTACCTATGAATGCTCATATTTCTGTTGCTTTCACAATTTACACCCATGTCGAAATGTATTATCAAGGCCTTCTTTTGGAAACACAATGAATTCTCATACATATATGTATATAAATATTTATATATACATATATGTTTATTTATTTACATGCACACAAGAATAATTATATAGAGTCGCAGTCACACACATGCCCGTGCATATTATTTTAGAAGCACGTGTGCAGTTTTTTTCACTATCATCTCTAACGATCGGCTCACGTCACTCTCACGCACGCATCTCTAATTGGCAGCAACAACGGGCCAAATGCAAAGATGAAAAATATTCGGATATTATCTAAAAGTTCCGCACTTGCTGGCAAAAAATGAAGAAAAAAAGCCCTCCCCTGCTTCGGACACGATTTAAGTCCAAGTCAACGTACATATAATGTATTTCGAAGGAATGTAAAATGACGCGCGGCAAACAAAAAAAAAAAACTGAAAAATTCTTATCGACGCGCCTGCATTTTTCGTTGTCATCGGTGCCGCCGCCTTCTGGCGACTAATTGACTGAGTTTCGAGTACAAAGCACTCAATTTCTATTTGAATAGGAGCACTCATTCACACACATACACACACACGCGCACACATGCAAGCGTATTACATGCGTGTACTACATTCACGCTCAACGACGCAGCCCAGTGTTGCCAGACATCAAACAGAATGCACAATATACTAGGTAAGCAGATGCTTGCAGGTAACCAATAACAAGCACGTGGATATTATTATCAAACGGTCACGTCGAATTATTTAATACATTATTATTAAGAAACACAAACTCAAACAGAATTGTTTAGCACACAATAACATTAGCATTTGCCGCTGGTGGCAACGCTGCCACAAAAGCAAGGTAACACAACAATGCGGGTAGGGAGGGGGTTGAACATACTCCTGCAATTTTTTTTTTTGTAGCCGCAACTGAACACGCTACGTCTTTCAAATTTACTGCTTAGAGCTTGTAAAGCAACACAGGAACAAAAACACCTTGATTTAAGAATCGACCTTGCCGCACAGGATCGCCAATTGTTTCTGCGTTTTGTTGTAGTGTGAGTGAGAGCTGGGAGAGGGGTAGATGGTTAGAGTCGCTCATTATTTGACAAACATCATGATTAGAGTGACCTTAATATTAAATGCGACATGAACACGAACAAGAACTTATTTGCATGTGGCAGTGGGGCTGGCTAATGCGTTTATCGTCTATCGATCGACGATACACGCAATGCAACATTGCAACCGATTGTGTAGAACGCGCCAAGATTTCAAATGTTATCGTGTCTATTATTTGCAGCTGATTGTGAGTGCAATAATTGTTGCTGCGTTAATAACACTAAAAGAATAATTTTTACAACTACGTTCGCAACGTTACAAGCATTAACGTACACACTATCTCTTTCACAAACACACGCACAGCATCTTCATCATCATCAGTGAGAGTCGAGTGGTAAAAAAAAAAGAAGCACTAAACATAAGCTGAACTATTTACTACTACTCGGACTGGACTGGCTAACTCTACACGGCGCCTGTAGCCCAAAAGAGCGGGGCGCAGCCTTAGCCGTTTAATATGTTGTTGGCAATTAACTAAACAAATATTCATATTATTGTTATTAATCGGGAATATTCAGTTACAGTTGCTGTATCTGCGTTAAGACGAACAGTGTTGGACTGACTGAGGAGTGGGGGGATGGGGTAGGTAGCGCGCAGTGTTGTTTTGAGCAATTTTTTATTCTGTTATATTTTACTTTGTGCCAACAAAAATTTATCACCACCTCCGCCGCGCGCGCTCAAACCAACGACCATAGCCACGCACTCACACACAGTTAAATAAGGCACACACACATACACATATGGTGTATATGTGTGCGGCTGTATTAAGGTGCATAGCCCATAGCACACAAACAACAACTTTTATACGCACGCTCTCACGCTCACTGCTCCTCTCTTTTGGCGCTCGCTCATCCAAGCAGCCGCCCCCGCCACCCGACCGCGCAACCGAACCCAACATCCAACCAACCAATCCACTCGCCAACTGACTGACTGACTGACTGACTGTCGACTGCGATGACGATGACGACGACGGCGACGACGACGACAACGACAACGACAACGGCAACGACGGCGATGGCGCAAACGACCGACCGACAGCCGAACCGCCGAAGCGACACGACCACGACACGACCAGTGGTGGCATGTATGTATGTATGTAGCAATTTGTATGTTTACTTGTAGTATCTCAGCAGGCGGGTAAGTTTGTTTCACACACACACTGAGGCCGTCACTCTCGTTGCGTCCCGAGTTGTCGCCTCTGCCTTTTCTATTGCTATTGCATCTGTTTCATCTACTTTGGCGCCGCTGGCCAACCAACCTCTCTGTTCAAAAGTAAAAAACTAACTGAGCCGCTGCGATTGTTGTTATTTTTGGTGTATATCGATAAATCGATAAATGGACAGGGCTGTTAGTTATCAAACGGGCACAGAGTTGGTTTGGTTAGTTATTTGTTTATTTTATTAATTTCACAACTGAGCACTGTTTAATTGTCGATTACAATCAACAATAATTCGAATAGTAAATCGGATTTGCTAATACATTAACAAAATGTGGCATAAATTATGTGTTTATTTGTTTTGCCGTACACAACACAGGCGACTAGCCTGTATATTCTAATCGGTTCTAAAACAGGGTCGTTTTTCTATATAACACATGTTATTATTGTTTTGGCGCGCGAACTCGACAGACAACGGATAACAGGAACGACAACAAACAGCATTTCCCGGATCGATATTAGGATAAGGGTGTGCATCGGCGTGCCTACTTTTGTTTGTGTGCTTGCAAGTGCTGAACATAATAAGTGCTACTTCAGTGCAATGCCGGAGAATATTATCGCCGGCATTCCGGTGCATTTTCCCTTTGAGCCATACGAGGTGCAACGCGCCTACATGGAGAAGGTGATTATGTGCCTGCGCGATGGCACCAACGGCGTCTTGGAATCACCCACCGGCACGGGCAAAACGCTGAGTCTGCTCTGCGCCTCGCTTGCCTGGATACGGACACGTCAATCGGAGCAGCAGCTGTACATGCAGAAGATACAACTGGACCAACAGAAGCAGGCAACAGGTGCAGGTGCAGGTGCAGGTGCAGGTGGAGCTGGCGCTGGCGTTGCTGAATTAACCGCCGTCATGGGCAAGGCCAATAATTGGGGTGTGCCCAAGGTAATATACGCCTCGCGCACCCACTCCCAGCTGAGTCAGGCGATGCGTGAGCTGAAACGCACCGCCTATGCCAATATGAGATCTGTGGTCCTCGGTTCGAGAGATCAGCTCTGCATACATCCGGACGTCATGCGGGAGCTGGGCAATTCGAACAAGGTGAACATGTGCAAGCTGAAGGTGCACGCGAAGACGTGTTCGTTTCAGTTGCGCGTCGAGTCCAAAAAGGATCATCCCGATTTCCGTGGCCCCAGCATCATGGATATTGAGGATCTGGTTAAGGTCGGACAGCGCCTCAAAATGTGCCCCTACTTTGCCTCCAAGGAGCTGGTCAACGGTGCGGACATCACATTTATGCCCTACAACTATCTGTTGGATCCCAAGGCGCGCAAGGCGAACAAGATTGAGCTGAGCAACACGATTGTCATATTGGACGAGGCGCATAACATCGAAAAGATCTGCGAGGAGTCCGCCTCGGTGCAGATACGCTCCTCCGATGTGGCCATGGCCATTGACGATATCACGCACATTATGAAAATCTTCACCAGCGGCGATGCACAGGACACGGGCGGTCCCGAAGAGCCCAAAGACTTCACGCTCGACGATCTGACGCTGCTCAAGGAGATGCTCCTCGAGCTGGAGAAGGCCATCGATGGCGTTGTCGTTGACAACAAAGCCGAAGGCGCCACCTATCCAGCTGCACATATCTACGAGCTGCTCGGCAAAGCAAACGTGAGTTGGTCCATCAAATATATGTATGAAGCTAATCCATATACCCATTCCGATGCAGTTCACCTATGGCAATTGTGCCACAATTGTCGCCCTGCTGGACAAACTGGTGCAGTACCTCATGGTCGCCTCCCAGCACTCGACGATGCTGCGCAAGGGCGGCAGCTTTATGGTGCTGGCCGACCTGCTGAACATTGTGTTTGCCAACAAGGAGGATGTCATGGCCAAGGTGCATCGCAGCTTCAAGGTGCACGTCGAGATTGAGGACAACAAACAGACGAAACATGCAGCGAGCGGCGCCAAGCCGCAAACCGGCTGGCTGGGCAAGGGCAACAATGCAGCGAGCAGCGTCTCCAAGACGGCCAAGATCATTAATTTCTGGTGCTTCAATCCGGGCTTTGGCATGGAACAGCTGCTCAATGCACACGTGCGCAGCGTCATCCTCACCAGCGGCACACTGGCGCCGCTCAAGCCGCTAATTGCCGAGCTGGCCATACCTGTGGCCCATCATCTGGAGAATCCGCACATAGTCAACCATTCCCAGGTCTATGTCAAAATCATTGGCACCGGTCCGGATCGCGAGCAGCTCATATCTAACTACAAGAATCGGTATGGCGAAAAAAAAAAACAACACACGAAAGCAAATGCAATTTTCACTCTAATTCTCAAACGGTTTAAGCGACTAAGCTGGGGGAGAGAGATAATTATTTGCATTTATGTTTTCTCTATCTTTATCTTTTTGGCCTATTCACAGGGACAATCCGAAGTACATCAGCTCGCTGGGCCAAACGATTTTGAATGTGTCGCGCATTGTGCCGGATGGCCTGTTGGTATTCTTTCCCTCGTATCCGATGTTGAATCAGTGCGTGGACGCTTGGCAGGCGAGCGGCCTGTGGGCGGATATATCGTGTCGCAAGCCAATATTTTTGGAGCCGCGCGGCAAGGATCAATTTACCAGCACCATGGAGGAGTTCTATCAGGCGATACGCGATTCGAAGGGCGCCTGCTTTATGGCCGTGTGTCGCGGCAAGGTGTCCGAGGGCCTGGACTTTGCCGATCGCAACGGACGGGCGGTTATCATAACGGGCCTGCCCTTTCCCCCGCTCAAAGATCCCAAGGTTGTGCTAAAGCGTCGCTACTTGGAAACGAATCGCACCAAAGAGAACCAGCTGCTCAGCGGCCAGGAATGGTACAATTTGGACGCGACACGTGCCGTCAATCAGGCGATCGGCCGTGTCATCCGGCATCGCAACGACTATGGCGCCATATTGCTGTGCGATGCACGCTTCCAGGACATGTCGCAGGTGCAGCAGCTATCCAAATGGATACGCGGCCATCTGGGCGCACGGCCACAAAGCTCGCCGTTTGGTCCCATTGTCCGTGAGCTGCGGCAATTCTTCAAGCATGCCGAACAGACGGTTAGCCCACATTCATTTCCCTATCAATTTGTTATGCCAACTAACCTACCCAATTCCCACAGATGGCACAGCCGGAGGAGCGCGTCGTTGAGCCGCTGCTGCAAACCGTTTGCAAGGAGGAGCAGCCAACGCTGGCGTCCAGCAGCAGCAGCAGCTTGGGCCAAATCAAACGTGAACCCGGCACTGGAGGCACCAAATTTCAGCTGGCCAGCGAACTGGCTGCGTGAGTGCCTGAAGGGCGTAAATAATGCTGAATAGCTTTTGATATATGTTCAACACATTTTGCAGCCAAGCTGAAATGGCCAACTCGATTAAGACGTGGACGCCGGCGGATTATGCGAATGCAGCGGGACGCAGCACACTGGGCCGAAGAGCGCCCGATGCCATGGACTTTATGAGTCGGCTCAATGCCAATGTGACGGTAAGCTTGTTTGCCTGAGATGATGTCCTGAACTGACCTTCTGACTTGACAGAGCATCGACTTCAACGGCACGGACACTGGTCAGGATCTGGTCAAGATACACAAGCGTGAGCGCAGCTCGCCCACAGCCAGCGAATCTTTGATGACCACCAAGAAGCGCTACAAGCTCATCGGCAACGATTCGCTCAAGACTGAGCCCAGCGAGGCGGCGGCAGCTAGCAGAAGCAGCATCAGCAGCAGCAGCAGCAGTTTCTGCCCAACTCCCTCTCAGTCGCAGCTTAAAGAAGCGCCCGAATCGCGTGCAGATTTTCTGCGTGAGGTTTGTCTGGCCACACAGCATTTCCACAAATTCCTTTAACTCCTCTGCTCGTTTCCAACACACAGGTGCGCAGCGTCATCGATTGCGATCAGTTTCGCAGCTTTGGCAAGGCGCTGCTGGCCTATAAAACCGGCGGCGATGGTTGCTTTGAGACGCTCATGGTGCTCCTACTGGACGTGCTGGGTGCACCCCAGCTGCGTTATCTGCTGCATGGCATGCGACGCTATCTGAAGAACGAGCACAAGGTCGAGTTCGATGTGCGCTTGGCCAGCTTTCAGGCAACCTAGTCTTGCGCCTCGGCCAAGCAAGTTTTTCGCCCAACTGACTGAAGATTCAAGAGAAGAAACAAACTGTGTAAAGCTTCTAACATATATACTATATATAATAATACTGCCTTAGACTTACGCTCTGTGTTACCAAATGCTTGCTCCAGTCGCATATGCCGAAGAGTCCTTAGGGCATGTGCCACGCACACGATCCGTGTACATTCTCCGCCTGCAATTAAACATTTTATACAATCAAATTTACTATTCATTTATGTTTTTGCTTATGTACCGAATATTTAATACCCTTGCAGACACATGTCTTAGAAATGTTGTCAAACCCAATTGTTGCGGCTTATCAGATATGTTATAGGAGCATAATGCAGCTCGTAATATTGAGTTTGGTCAGAAAAAAAAAAACAAGATAAACAAAAAAGACTTAAAGCTGTCGATGTTCATTTTCAGAGTTGTAAACAGAACATTTTTCCATACAAAATGGCAGCTATATAATTTGGTGGTCCAATGTTTAGTTTCATTTAAATAATTTGTAGTTAGATTAAAATGTTTTGGAAAAATAAAAATCTTTGCATAGAAGACTTATATTTGATTATGATTTCAATTGTGACCAAAATATTCTTACATACAGTTATTATATATATATATAAATCTATGCATATAATCTTATGTACACGTCCAAGTGATCCTTTATACAGATATTTGAAAATATGTTTTAAGTTCGCATTAAAAATTTGGCATCAATTTTTTCCGCCCATTAAAAGATTGAACCCGTGTTTTCAGCCAAGACAGGCGGATTTTACGAAAAGCGTGAAACGCGTTTCAGCTTGATTTTTACAGAATGGATCGTCTCTTTCGAGGGAAATTTTTCCCCAAATTATTGTGGTCAAATGAATCAAGAAGAAAAATATATTATTTGATAGAAATATGAGAGCCAAAGGATTAAAAATAACAAAAAAAATAAATAAGCTTTCAAGTCTTCACACAATACCTTGAAACATGTTCAAACCAAATGTTAACAAAAAAATTAATTCTCTTTCGAGTCTTCACACATTGTCGTCGAGTACTTTGCGAGAAATATTGCAACCAAGTATTACAAAAAAAAATGTTGTAAAATAAGGTTATTGCTAAGTAAACGTAAAATCAGTAAACTGCAGAGCAGCCAAAAAAATTAAATGAAAAATCAGCAACAACGAAAAAAAAATAGGTCTGCTCACCACGACAGGTCGAAGCAGACTGAGAGCAATAACAGCAACCCACTCCAGACCTATGTTACTTTAACATAAGCTGTTAAGTTGCCATAACATATCATTAACATAACATGATGCTGTTAAAGTTAACCCGCGCACAATCACGAATTTAAAAATACCAGCTCGGATTAAAAAATGTTTTGCGTGTATGTTGGTGGATGTAAATTAGTAACAAACAACTATTGACTTTTCATACTTGCTTTAAGTTTTATTAAAAAAAAAAAAAAAAATTAAAAACACTTAAACTAATTACTTAAAATAGATATCAAATTAAATGGATTTATTTATATATATATATATATATAATTACTTGCAATTGTAAGTATTTCTTTTTGTTGGTTTACTTTAGTAAATCTGTTTTTATGCATTTTGCCTGGCTTATTACAACTTTACACTTAATTGTTACAATTTAATTCGATTTAAGTTACAATTGTTTGTAGTTGCTTAACGTTACGTTACGTTAAGTGACGTGACGCGACGTGACAATACGTTACGTCTTCGCTCGTCCGGTACTGCCCTATGAAATTGCTGCTGGATGTATTTTCCTTTTTTGATTTATAATTTCTTGTTTGTTTGTTTAAAAGCTGTATATATTGAATATTGTTGTTGCTCTTTTGGTTTGCTTATGGTTTTGTTTAAGTGACGGAGCAGGCGCTGGCGCTGGCGCAGGCGTCCAGCTGGCAGCCGCGAATGGCGCAAGAGCTGCGGCGTCCGTCACGTCATGCGCGAGGAGCCGAGTAACCGAACCAGCAGCCTCAGCCGATGCGCCGCCGCCGCCAGTTGGCGTCTGTGCGGGCTGCCATCACTTGTGCAATCAATTAACGGTTATCGGTTTATCAGTTATCGGTTATCGGCTATCGTAATTTGCATATTGTATGTATGATTGTATGTATGTATGCATGTATATATGTCTATGTGTATGTGCTCGAAGGATATGTGATGCATTTTGTTCAAAACTTTTTCTGTTAACTATTGCTACTGTTGAATGGAGTGAGGGTGGAGAGGCAGGGGGGGGGATGTAGCGGGTAAACACGCCACGCCAGATCGATCGCAAACGCTACTGAGCAGCCACATCATCGCTCTCATTCACGCGCTCTAACTCTCTCGCTCGCTCTAACTTGCTATCTTTTTCGCTCTCGCGACTAACTAACTTCTATTTAGTGGGTATAAAGCGCGCCTTGACCGCCTGCCCCATGGGCAAATGAAGATGTTGCTGCTGCTGCTGCTGCTGTTGTTGCTGCTGCTGCTGCTGTTGCTGCTGCTGCGCGGCCGCCTGCTGCTGCATATGCTGATTGAGCTGCTGCTGTATGGAAAGGCCGCTGGCACTGCTGATGATGTGCTGACTATGCAACGGCTCATTGATTTCTATTTTAATGGCCGTAGCTGCCAGTGAGGTCTTGTTCTTGTTTTTGGGCGGTCTGCCACCTGAAAAAGAGTTACAAAATTAATATATGTACGATAATATAAAGCTCAAATAAACTCAAATCAGTCGACTAGCTGATATGCCCTGTACACAGCTAAGAGAAACAGGCTAAGACCTCAAAATATATATAATATAATCTTAACTAGTTTAGTACACAAATTGTCGATTATAGATATACTAAAGAAGCAACTATTTTCGACAGGTGATCTAATACCCCTTTAGATATTTGGCTTAGAAATGCATTTTGCAATTGTGTTAGGCGAATAGTGAAGCTTGTATAAGCCAAGTTTGGACATGATATCTTGAAAAACAAAAAAGTTTTATAGTGATATAGTACTCCGCTATTGATAGAATGTTGTTCTTTGGTAGAACTTGAATAACAAACAGATTGTTCATACAAAAACTTAGTTTTTAGCCGATTATTTCTGTAATATATTGATCCGATTTGAGAGAGAGAGACTAGTTTGTAGCGAAAGAGACAGACATATCCACTAATATATATGTATATACACCTTATAAGGTCGAGATGCGTTACACATTTCCTGCCAAAATGATCATTTGCTTTACATGAAATGGTATGATAAACGAGAACTATTACATCAAAATTTGCTATGCCTAGTTTTCTGATATCTATCGTATTGATAAGTCAGGCTTGGCTATATAATCGGGGCTGTCCAGGCAGATCCCTAATATAATGGCAAAAACTAATAGCACCACAATTATCTGAATGTTACAAAAAGTTGCTTAGATATGTAAGGAACGTAAAATACAATATGCCTCTTTTCAACTACAAATTATGCTCATTTTCCATTAAGAAGTTCCCTAACTTTACAAATGTATATAGTTGTATATATGTACATAAACATACTTAACAAACCCTAATTAACCCAAATTAACTCTCGTCGACTTAATTTTGACCTGCCTCTCTTAAACAGCTGCACATAGCTACAGGGTATCTAATAACTAGATTTGTCAGATTTGTTTAAATTCGAGCTGTGGCCCAATCTCTAGATGGCACTTACGCTGCCCCGTCGTATGCTGCAGCGACAGCGGCTGCCCGATCATGGCAAGCGGCTGTTGTGGCGACTGCAGCGTGATCGTCTTTTTGGATCGTTTCGGTGGCGGCAGCTCGTGATGTGAGTGATTGGTGAGCAAATGTTTGGATAGATGCTGTCGGACTGCGAACGATTCGGCACAGTTTGCCACCGGGCAGTTGAGGTAGCGTCCCTCGACGTGGCGCTGCACATGCTTCTTGAGCAGCGATTCCTGATTGAAGCTGCTCGGGCATATATCGCATTTGAATTTGAACTCATCGTGCATCTTCAGATGCTGATCGAGATGCGATTGCTGCAAGAATTTCTCATCGCATTTGCTGCACTCATAGGGAAAGGCCAGTCCGTGGGTCTTCATGTGCGTATGCAGCTGTGACTGCAGCTTGAAATTCTTTTCCGGACAGCGCGGACAATAGTAGCCGGTGACGCCGGCATGCGCCTGCAGATGTTGATTCAATGAGGTGACCTGCGTAAACTTCTTGCTGCACACGTTGCAGCAATACTGCTGCACCTTATGGTGCGACTTCATGTGATTGTTCAGATTGGTCACCTGCAAACGTAATTGAACATTTTAATTGAAACTTGCCGGCAGAGCAGACACAGTACTTACCTGGGCAAAGCTGCGTCCACATTCCGGCTCATTGCACACAAAGGGACGCTCGCCGGTATGGAGACGCCGATGATTGTTAAGGTTGGTGATTTGAGTGAAGGTCTTGCCGCAGTCCACGCACTGATACGGCCGATCATTTGTGTGTATGCGCTCGTGATTCCGCAAATTGGCCGCCTGCGTAAAGCCTGCAATTTGGGAGGGCAATTAATTATGGTTGCTTAATATACATACATGAAATACAATGAACATATGCTATATGAACCCCATTTGATGCTTGTCATATTGGGTCTTAATATCGAAGCATCGATAAACGGGTAAGAGTGCTCGCCCGACTGGGAGATACCCTGCTCCTAGCTGCTCCTAGCTACCTCATACATATACTATCCACAAAGGAAATGCGTGTGTGATTAACTAGGTCTAAACAAAAATCGCCTTTTAACTTAGTTGCCTTTTAAATTAGTTAGTAGAATGTAGAATGTTTTCATTACCAATTTGGTCTATAAGGATTATCTTATTTTTGAAGTAATGCTTAAAAAACCAAGTCGCAAAATCGTTTTTACCGATTTATGAAAATGATATATAATATATAATGAAATATTTCTAAGATCGACGGATTTATATACATATTGTATAGACAAGGCTAGGTTAACTCAGCTCATCGTCCTGATCAAGACAAGACATGTTTAATGGTGTCCGAGATGCTTCCCTTCACCTCCAGTCTACCCTTTGCACACAGTTGTCACTCGCTAATGGGGAATCAAAAAGCCTTCGATATTTCTGTCAAAATCATTTGTAAGAAATTGCATTTTGAAAATTGAGTCTAAAATGTAGCTTTGTTGTTTTCATCTAAATTCCCTTGAACTAGTGAATTTATTCACTCTCTTGATTTTGTTGTTAGTTTTTTGATTACTTTTTATATGTAACTAACATATTTCATGAAACAAAATGACATTTAAAAAGAAAATTATCACGATCAGTAGAATTTGCGAGTAGCTATTTTATTATTTGAAGCATTTATTTTATTATATATTGTGATTTAGCCCTTGTTTATTATTTGAAATGTTCTAATTAGACTCCTTGCTTTTCTCTGTAATTCTACCGACAATTCACCATATCAAGTGTGCACTGTATACTTTGTATTGAGCAGCTTTGCCTAGGCATATAACCAGCACGCCTCCATTAGTTTTTTTTTTTTTTTTTAAATATACCCACCTTTGTGGCAGTAGGTGCACACAAATTTACGCTCAGCCGAATGATTGCGTATGTGCGTCATGAGCGAGGATTTGCGCGAGAAGGTCTTGTTGCACAGCGGGCAGGAGCCCTCCTCGTTGAATATCAGATCCACCTGCGTTGAAAGAGAGCGAGAGCGTTAGCGATACGGTTAGAGTGGCATTTTGATAGAGAGCTTCGGAGCTTTGCTAATTGCAAGTGTCACACTCACGCACGCACGCACCCACACACACACACACACACACACGCACACACACACAGACTCTTACGCTCAACAAGCTGGCGGTCAAAATTGTTGCAATTTTAATTCTATGCGCAAATTCCTTGCGACTTATGTTTGTTTATTGCAGATGTATTAAGTTTTTTCTAAATTCTGTATTGCGTTTTTTTTTTGCGTGCCACGCACACCCACACAAAAGCGTCAACTGAAAATGAATTTTTTTCGCTTTACACAGCGCACAAAAACGTCGTGCAGTCGACGTCAACGTCGACATCGCAGTTCCCTCTGACGCTGCTGTCTTTGTTGTTGTTTTTGCTTCTGCTGCTGCTGCTGCCGTCGTGAAAAGCAAAGCAAGAAAAAGGCAAGCAAACAGCGCAGATATTAATGAAAATAAAATAAAAAAAAATAAAAAAAAACAAAACAAAATAAAATAAAGGCAACACAAAAAAAAGAAGAAAATGGGCAACAAGAGCCGGTGAAGGCGACGTGCGCATACCCTGCAATCGCACATCTACTTTATAACCATGTACTAAAATAAATTCCTACCCACTCTAAAAGCACTTTAGGCATTACATTTATGCGCATATATGTGTCTTTTATTTATATTAATTAAAATAAGAACACAAAAGTCCTTTATATTTAATACAAGTTGTACTGCATGCTGTCTAGCGTATTGTTATGCCCGTATACGCAGACAGAAATTATGTAGGGCATCTGTGTTGTTGTTGCTGCTGTTGCCAATATTCTCAGTGCAGCGGTGTGAAAAAGAAAGGCAAAGGCATAAGCAAAGCGTAAAGAAGCAGGCAAAAGAAGAAGGAAACGAACTATGAATGTACATTAGTACATATGTATGTATTTATGTATATACACATGTATTTACTGCCAGTGTAATCTGCAGTTATGTATAGGGGAAGAAAAAAAGAAATAACAAGACAGCAATGGACAAGTGCAGCGGCAGGAATATTGCAGTTATTCTGCGCTTGTATGTGTGCGTGTCTATGCCGTAAGCCAACACTGTTGCCGCTGTAAGATTCTATTAGTGCGACTATACTCACTCTCTCTCACACTCGCTCGCTCGCTTACACTTACATCTTCAGAATCGTCCTGCGATTGTAGATTCTCGGAAGAACTTGATGATTGCAACTGTTGTTGTTGCTGCTGCTGCTGCTGCTGTTGTTGCTGCTGCTGCTGTTGTTGCTGCTGCTGCTGCAACTGCAGCACAGCAGCAACAGCGCTGCCGTTTGTCAGCTGTGCCGCCACAGCGTCGCCCTCACTGGCTGCTGTAGATGCAGCAGCAGCAGCGGCTACTGCAGCCGCCGCCACAGAAGCTGCTGCACCGTCCTGCACACGCACCGCTTGATGGAAGTTCGAATTGTTTGTCAACTGTTCCGAGCAGCGCACGCACGTGGGTATGCTATAGCCGGGCACTTGAAATAGCTGTAATTAGAGCAACAAAGAGAGAAAAAAAGAGATCATTAGAAATTAGACTCAAATTGGCGTGCAAGGTTGAAACCAAAAAAGAAAGTTTGTTGGTATTAAAATCTATAAAAAAGATACATAACGCGTTTTTTTTTTGAGGCAGACTCCACAGCTCCCCCTACTCGTCATCTCCTAATAATAACAACCAAGGAGCTCTCGCACTCATATGTGTATATATATATATAAATATATGTACATATATACACACACACACGTGCGCACCGAAATGCCAGCACCAAACAATAACAACTACAACAACAACAACAACACTGGCGACGGCAACGACGGTTTGTTGTTTTCATTTCATGTTTTTTTTTCCCCCTCTACAGCGTTGTTATTCTTTCGTTTTTGTTTTGTTTAGCTGCGAACGAACAGTGGCGTCGTTGCACGGGGTCTTAGAAATGTGACGTCACAAAGCTACGCTTATAGCAACAAATGGTGCGGGAGATCGTCGAATTTGTGCATATAGGTCTGTGTGCACATGTTGTGTGCGAGCGAGAGTTCTACAGCACCTTAAAGCTTGGCTTTGGCTGTAATGATCGCTACCCCACTTTACCCCCAATGAGCTGGGACCCCTTCTGTGCACGCCGCTGCTGCCTTAGCGGAATTTTTGTCATTTTGTTTTATTTTATATTATTTCGTTTTGTGCTCTTGTTGAAAAGGAGTCAAAATGAAAAGCAGCGCACAAACGAAATGTAAAAATATTATTATTTTTCGACATACATATGTACATACATCTATATAAATATTTTTTTTTGTTTTCAAGTTGGCGGCTTGAGCAACTTTGGCTGACTTGGCTAAAAATAAACGGCCGCAATAGTTGGTGCCAGGGAGGGGGAAACAAAACACACGCACACATACGGTGTACATACAAACATGCATACATACATATATATATATATATATATAAATGTATATTTATATATGTATGTGTGAGCGTGCGTGTGCGCGAGCCAAACTTTTGCCGTTGGGGTCGCGCCGTGTTCTGCGCGCGCTTTTCAACCCCCACCCAATTGACGACGGCGATGCAGCAGCAGTAGCAGCAGCAGCAGCAACAGAAAGACGAAGAAGCGGCAGCAGAAGTGCAAAATCCGCGCACAAATTCAATTTTTATCATTCGCCCCCCGCAAAAAAAAAAAGAGACAAAAATCAATAGAAATAACAAAATACAACACATAAAAATGCGCTGCTTGTTGCGCCCGCCAACTTAATATATATGTATATATAAATATATGCATGTTTATATGTATGCATATATTAAATAGTTAAGCTTTAAACGGTTTCTTGCACTTACCGTTGCTGTCTGAAAGCACAGCCTACAAATGGTGTCCATGGCTCTGCTCCAGTTTGGCGGCAGGGGCAGGACAACGTGCTCGCTGCGTCTTGCGGTATTGTTATTGTTTCTGCGGATGCTCCTGCTGCTGCGGTTGTTCGGCGTTGCACATGTATTGGCAAGGGGAACGGGATCGGCTAACTTTACCGGTTAGCATTTACACGCATCCAAAAGCTTTAATTGCCTTGTATTCTTTTTTTAACCAATGCAATAACAACACACTGTAACACACACTCACACACGCACGCGAGCACGCACACAGAGACAGCGATCTGCGTTTGTTTAGTTCTTGTTCTTGCTCTTGTTTATGTTTGCCACTTGCACTCCGCTTGCGTTGTTTTTGTTGCTTAATTTCTATGCAGTTTTTTTCTTCTTATTTTGGCGTAGGGTTAAAATTGCACTTTATTTTTTTTTCTTTTTTTCATTTACCATTCACGACGAAGGTTTTTCGTCCGTCGTCGTCGGTCGCGAGCAAACGAGCGTTTTTGGGGCCCCCGATGTTATTGTTTGGTTGTGTGTGTACGCGTATGTGTTGGAAAAAAATTGAAGCCATCTGTCACTATAGCCGTACTCCTCTAACACAGGCTACATTGCGCCATTGGCCAACAAGGTGCCATCTCTGTTTGCAGAACTAACTAAACAACAGATATCGTTAGCCAACACTGGCATTCAATGTACAAGAATCAGAGCGCGCAATTTAAATTTGAAAAGCCAAAAACATCGATTTAATCAAACACAATGGCTAAAAACACAAATAAAACATAAAATTGAATGATAAAATTAAAATGGCGACACAGCGCTTTAGATACAATAGACAAATGTCCAAAAGAACAGATTAAAGACCAAAAAGGCGAGCGGAAATATGAAACGCGCCCGGCTATCAATCCAAATGGCGATTTCCTGTGGAGTGAGTGTTGTCCAGCCGGTGGAAGCAATCTGTTCCTCATGGCTGAACTCTTCACCTAAGAGATTGTTACAGCTGCTAAAATCGGGCAGCTCCATGCTGGTTGCAGCAGCAACAGGAGCAGCAGCCGTAGTTACAGTAGCGCCCAAGGCACTTTCCACAAACGTCACATCTAGCTTGCGATTGGTGCTGCTCAACATATGAAGGCTATTTTTCCGGCTCGGAGCCGTTTGCGGGCCCATCACTTGGCCCTCGGTAATGGTCGAAATGGGTAAATTGACCGTCAAATAGTTGTTGAACGGTTGATTGCCGCCCAGCGAGCTGCTGTCCGGCTGGCGTCCAGTTCCTGAAAAGGAAAGGGAGCGGGCGTGGCTGCGGCGACGCATCAAATGCGGCGATAGCGTCGACTTAAGGATGTGCCGACTATTAAGCTTCCTGATGGGCACATTGTGTTTGCGTCGCCAAATGCTGTTCACAAATGCAAACTCCACCATGCTGCCGAATATGAAAATGGTGCAGCCTAGAAACCAAACCTCCGATACCTTAATGTAGCTGACCTTGGGTAGAGTTTTGCCTGCGTCCAAAAAGTTAAATGTTAAAACAGTAAGGTTCATAATTTGAAGTACTCATCGTGAGTTACCCTGTGCTGAAGCAAGTGTAATAAATGTTAACATGGTGCTGGTGCCTAGGGTAATGCGTGGCGGCGCTTGGTCCGCTTGCAGCCAGAAGGATACCCATGAGATGGCCACAATTAATATCGAGGGCAGAAAGTAGTCCATCAAGTAAAAGCCCACCACACGCGTTAGATGCACCGTAAAGCTTAGGGAACTATAATTGCCGGCAAAGGCGCCATGACGCAAATCGCTTAAATCAGCATTGATCACCGTCTCATTCGACCAGGAGCGCTGCAGGAGAAACTCGGTCAGGTGCAGTGCTGGATCGTACGTGATGGGACGCTTTTGCTCCCAATGTAGCACCAGCTCGGATGTGTTATACATCCAGCTCTCCAAAACCGTGGAGCAGTGCTGCTCATCAAATGGAAATTTCTTCAAATTTAGCCAGCAATAGAGCGTGGCTTTAATGCGCGTTGAGACAATGACAGTGCCATCAGGCGAAACAGATGTGAGGATATCCTTCTCCGTGGTGCCTATGTGAGCAGAAATTTGATGTCTTTGACTTGACAGATATATCGACACTTACCCAAGATGCTGGAGTCGCGCTCGTTGGCCAGAAAGATGTGGGGCAGCCATAGGGAATCGCGCAGCTGCTGTTCACCCAAAATGGGCTGCAGGCGTTTGGGTGACACATGGCGAAAATTCAATCGGGGATCCAAGTAGCGCATCTGCAACAGCGCAAAAATCTTGAATTGCAGATCGTGCGCCTCTAGGTTCTGCATAAAGTATATATAGGCACGCATGTAGACATCCACGGGCAGGCGTGTGCCGGCCTCGGTGTAGGTAACAGGTCGCTCCAGGCGATCGTAGCGGCAGCCGTGCGTCAGGCGATCTATTAACTGCGTCTGCGACAAACTGTCGCCGTTCGCCAGCGTTGGGCAGTCGTCATCGATGGCGGCCACAGCCAAGCGCAGACAATTTAACAATATTGAAATAATAAGTGACAAATGCATGGCGGACAACACAACTAACACGAAAAGTCGAATAAAATGAGTTTGCAAAATGCAGGCAGTTCAATAACGGTTAAGGCTGGTGGTGAGCAAAAGTGTTTGATTTGCTGAAAACGCGCCAAAGCATATCGATAGCTGATAAGCGCGATACTTATCGCACATGCCACCAGCGATAGTATACCGCGACGGCTGCCACATGTACAAATTTATGTTTGGCTTGTCAATGCCAAGAAGTTCATCTTACAAAATTATTATTGATTTTTTACAGTAATTTTTAATAAAATATTTTACATATATTTAATATTATGTTTTGGCTTTCAATAACATATGAAATCGCGCTTAAGTATATCGATAGCTAAGCATAATTATGCATTGCTTCCAAGTATTTGCGATATATTTTTATAGCACAATTTCCTAGATAACTTGCATGTCGGTAGATGGCGCTAGTGTGCCCAACACCTTCGATAATGGCGTGCAACGCATTTTGTAACGGATTTTTAAATTGTATAGTACCATATCTAGTAAATTACAATAATAATTAAATTATTTAATTGCATCGAATACTTTCAGAAACTTCAGAAATATATTGTAAGCACTCAAAGAGCTTTTACAACATTTGACGTGTCTTGAATATTCACACTTATCCCAAGATACTTCAGTAACTATCCAGGATACCGTTAATGATATCCTTTTATACAAATATTCATTCACGCATTTCAAATATAGAAATACAGCCAAAAATATTAATAAAAACATATAACAACAAGTAAGAGGCTCTAGTCGGGAGCTCCCGACTAGGGAATACCCTGATATGTTTTTTTTTCTCAAAATCGAGGTCGATTCGAAAATCAAAACTTTTTTGATCATTTTTTTTTTATATATCTCGGGTAAATATTGTCTGACTTTGAAATGTTATAGCTTTTTGAATTCGTACGGATCCCTACTATCAATTGGTATTCAAACAAATTCAAAATCGATCGGATAAAAAAAGTTGTTGGCCAAAAAACGATTCGTTTGTACAGTCAACCATTTGTGACGATTTTTTTTTTTTATATCTCGGCCAAATAATGTCCGATTTTGGAATTTCATACCATTTCGGACTCGTTAGGATCAGTACTATCATTTTTTTCCGATAATCGATAAAAATGGATATCGAAATCCAGTTTTTTGAGCAAATCTCGTATGTTATAAGAGCTAGAGTCACCAAACTTGACATGCAGCGTCTAGAATAGTATTTATATATCAAGTAACTTTCGCCTCCCCGCTACCACCACATAGCTATAAATCAAGTAAATAAACCAATTTGTATTGCCCGGACAATTGAAATTTTGAGAACATACAAATATCCTATAGTACAAAAGGAACTACTGTTGAACATTTCGTCAAGATCGGTTAAGGAATACAGAAGTTATTAAAGAAAACGTGTTTTGGCGGTCTTCGTATTAGCGGCAGCTAGCGCAAATTGCAAGAATTGTTGTTAATTGTTTACAAAGTTCTTAATGAAAATTTATTGGACAGGTCGTCTTGGCAGGAGTAAAAGACTGGAAAAAGTTAAATAAATAATATTATGTTTGCTTTTTTGTGATGTGTATAGATAAAGGTATTTTCCCAGTGCCTACCTCATATAGATGGGAGTAAAATAAAACAAGAATTTTCGGGTTAATAATGTTAATATTTAAATATGTATCATAATTTCTCGATGCGCCTTTGAACATCATCTATGCTTCCCATGCTCCCCTTACCCCTCCCACCACGTATTTCTATTAATTTTTTTTATTTAATAAAATCATAATCAAACACAAACAACGGAGTGTTTTTGTATAAACATAACATATTTGGAGGAATCTACTCGCTTCGAGCTTCAAGAAGATGTAAAAAGTTAAACAAATATACGCCACGCGCTTTTGCATTCAGCATATCAATAACAATTATAATATGCTGGATTTGAACCGGCGACCTCTAAATGATTAGTTCGATGCTCATTCCGTTTACACGCCACTTTTGCAAAGCTTAATTTTATAGCCGGGTTTTTTTTTTAAATATATTTTTCATCGAACCATTGGCCATCCCGCTGGTGGTTCGAATTTTTGCTAAATCCCATCGTTCAGTCATTCGGTTAGTCAATCAGTCAGTCATTCGGTCAGCTAATCAGTCAGTCAATCAGTCAGTCAATCAGTCAGTCAATCAGTCAGTCAATCAGTCAGTCAATCAGTCAGTCAATCAGTTAGTCAGCCAATCAGTCAATCAGTCAGTCAATGAGTCAGTCAATCAGTCAGTCAATCAGTCAGTCAATCAGTCAGTCAATCAGTTAGTCAGCCAATCAGTCAATCAGTCAGTCAATCAGTCAGTCAATCAGTTAGTCAGCCAGTCAGTCAATCAGTTAGTCATTCGGTCAGTCAATCAGTCAGTCAATCAGTCAGTCAATCAGTTAGTCAGCCAATCAGTCAATCAGTCAGTCATCCAGTTAGTCAATCAGTCAGTCAATCAGTCAGTCAATCAGTCAGTCAATCAGCCAATCAGTCAATCAGTTAGTCAGCCAATCAGTCAACCAGTCAGTCATTCGGTCAGTCAATCAGTCAGTCAATCAGTCAGTCAGTCAATCAGTCAGTCAATCAATCAGGTTTAACTCTTTGGTATATAGCCAAGCTAGTGGGTATTTTTTTTGATATTATTTAAATACAATTATTTGAATATGCTCAGATTTAAAAAAATGGGTTTGCGGGAATTGGTTGCACCTGAAACAGTTTTTCCTAGATTCCTTGGATCCGGAATCTTAAATATTCGAGCTAAGCCTGAAAACGACGCGTCTCAAAATCGATATTTATCGATATTATGAAAAATGTAAATATAGCTATCGAATAAACATTAAGTCTAACTTTAATCGCTTCGCCGAAGGACGCGCTCACGCAGACAAGCCGATATCCTCTTATGGATATATCTACTCGACTCAGGATCAAAAATATGAGTATATACTTTATGGAATCGGGGCTGCAAATGCAAACTGTTGTCTGGCAATCAATTTGAAGGGGAAATACTTAAGGAAGCAAGACAATTTCGCTCCATAAATAAACAAATCTATCAATTAAGGATGAAGCTTTAAGCTGTCGACACGCCCATCACGCCCATCCCGCCCACACGCACTTAAGAACTTGTCAGCGCTGGGAGAAATATGGCCAGAAATGCTTTCTCAGACTTGCAGCATTGTTTGTTCAGGCCACCCCCCCCCGCACCGCACCGCACCGCACCGCACGCCCTAACCCTTGAGGCCCCACCCCTTTCCGTTTGTGTGGTTTTCTTTTTCCACTTTTCCAGCAAAGCGCTGCGTTGTCATTGGTAAGAAACTTTTTTGGCGCAAGTTGAGCTTATTGCCCAGAAACTCAATCCACTTCCCTGCCACATCCCCCACATCCCCCCCCCTGCGCCTGCCAATCGTCGAGTGCTGCATGAATTATGAGCGTCTGCCAAGATTTATGAATACCAAAAAAAAAAAAATGAGAATGAGAAGACGAAAAATTGTATCCACAAAAGGCTTTAGCTGGGAAAAGCCAAAATCTGTCAGCTGTTAAGCTGCGTTGTAAATTTCCCGCAATTAGGTTGAATTTCAATTTCCCTTGACGCTCGGCGGGGGAGGGCAGGGGTGGGGCTGGGTGGGGGGCCAGCTACTTACTTTGATTGCGATTATGCCGCAATGATGCGATCCGGCCGAAACCCAAACCCAAACCCAAGCCCGAACCCAAGCAAATTCGTGGACACGCTCATAAATCAAACAAGTCGATTTTTTAGCGCTTTTTATCGATGCCTTTTGTTCGACCCCCCCCCCCCCCCCACCCCCTCCCCACCCACGCAACTGTACAACATTTTATACCCTTCACAGAAGGGCATTCCAATTGTGTTGCACATCGAAAATTATGTTTTGCTTTAAAAGATAAATTGGCCCTAGGTAAAGAAAAACTGTTAATCCCTTGATAGACTGGATCCGGATCGAGCTCAGCTATTACCAGATGAACTATTCAACTTATATATCTGCCAAGTCGGATTCATATATCTTTTAGGCCTTATGTCTACAAGAGTATTTCACCTTCGGCTAGCCGAAGTTTGTTCTTTTCTATTGTTCATACCCTGTTCAGCACGAGAAAATAGAGCATATATAGTCAAACTATCGATAGTTTTCATATATGCACAGAAAAGAAAGTAAGACTAAAATACAAAGTAAAAACTATCGAAATTAATTGTTCTGATTTAACGAAAACTTAAAATGTATATCGAAAATTCCGTAGCAAACTATCGATAGTGTTATCGATAAACGCAATTCTCTCTGCAAACTAAAGACGGGAAACTTGGAATATTTGCCTGTAAGTCTGTTTCAGTGAACCAAGCTGTAGATATCGATATATTGCACTTTTTTGCAATTTGTAAGCCAAAGAAATCGATATATATTTACTTTTCAGGCGATAAATTTATCGAAGCACCTGTAAAAATCGATATGTTGCACGTACCAAGGGATATATTTATAGCTGACAAATTTATGGTCGCAGAAATCAATATATAGCAGTTTTTAAGCAATATATATAATGCGGAGTCTGGAAAAATTCCCTTTCTATCCGTGTCGAATTCAGTGTATAAATCGATATATTGCACTTTTCTAGCGATTTATTTATCGCTCGTATGCGATATATATCGATTTGACTTTTTTCAGCTGAATTTTTTCGGCCAATTAAAGTTCGAGCAGAGTATCGCGCAGCCGTTGACGGCCGCCTGCAACATTCTCACTTGTTATTTTCATTTTGATTCCTTTCCATTTTTGTTGTTGTCTATTTTTTGATTTTTCCTTTTTTTTTTTGCCTCTGATTGGCTGGCAGTGCAGTTTTTCTGCCTCAATGCCTTGTGCGGTTGCGCCGGGGGGCGGGGGTTGTTCGGGGCGCAGCAAATTTTGCAAGCTCATGGAAAGCCATGCACGCCTTTTATTTTTTATTTAAAACAACACTGAGACAAATTTATAATGTGCATCGGCTGCGATACCCTAACAAATTTCGGCTATGGATGCTTTCAAGTAACCGGATACCCATTAAAAAACAACTGTCATTTCGCAATTCGCAAGTCAAATACAATTTTTTTGTATGAATTTTTTGTCGGGCATTTATCATCTATCTATCTTTTTATATCTATCTATTTATCATTTATAAGATCGATGTATTTGAATATATGTGCCATATGAATATATATATATATATATATATATATTTTTATGTATACAAATCCAAACAGATCTACAGATCTATTTCTTCTAAGTAGGACACGTTTTGCCTTGATCAAATAAATATATAGCGCACTTTTACAGGGTATAAGTAACAGGAAGCACATCGAATCGTCTATATATTTGTCTTATATATAATATGCGCTATATATATATATATATGTTATATAAACAGATCTACAGATCTATAGCTTCTGTCTTGCTCATATATAACCCTATCGCACTTTTACAGGGCAAAATGCCTGAAACTGAAACTGAAACGGAAACGGAAACATGCCGGACCGTCTATCAATTTGTGTTATATAAGATCTACTGCATTTGTATATATACATATTTACGTTATTTATAAATATCAATCTGAACAGATCTCCAGATCTATAACTTTTCCTGTCTTGATCGAATATATAACTTTATCACACTTTTACAGGGTATTAAAGAACAGCGTAAATTGACAACGCCTGAAACTGAAACGGAAACGGAAACACGTCGGCCTCGTTGTCGCGCGTAAGTTGGTGTTCAATGTTTGCTGCAAGTGCCACGCCCATTTGACCAAAAAAACGCAACGCCACAAATGGGCGAATATCGTGCATGTTCATTAAGCGCGGAATAACGGAATCAATGAATGGTGTAAAAATTAATATCCTGTGCACAAAAAACAAAAATCACAAAAATCGAACACAATTACAACAAAAATTAAAATTAAAAAAAAAAAATAAATCGCGGGCAATTCTTATGGCAAACACAGTTCCAAAAGGCACATGCACGAAGAGTGTACGAGGGGAGGGAGGGGGAGGGGGAGGGGCTTTGGTGTCAGCAGCCGGCAGCAGTTTTAATTTACACAAAGCGTAGTCAGGCGTGTAATGCGACAAGGGGGAAGGGTTGGGGCGAGCGGAAGGGGCCGCAGCCGTGTTGCTTCACTAAAAGCTGTTATGCAGTTGGGGGTGAAGGAAGGAAATAGCGGGGGGGGGGGGAGAGAGGGCGGGGCTTGGCTGACAGCACAGCAATTCGCGACAACAAGGACGACATTTAAAAAATGCCTTGAGGCAGGCGACGACGACGCCGACGCCGACGCTGACGCTGACGACGACGACGGCGTCAAATGATTTATGAAATTGCTTTTGCCGTTGCGTACTTTGCGGTTAGCGGTGAATATGGTCGGTGGGTGGAGGGGGGAGGGTGGGGGGGGGGGGGAGGGGGAGCTAGATATTGCGAAGGGATGAGGTTTGCGTTAAAGAATGTTGCTTGATGAAGCCGCGACTGATGCGTTGTCAATTAAGAACGAAGACAGAAATACAATCAAAATGGAGAGAACGATATGCAAATATTATTACGTCAAAAATTCTTTTCATTTTCTGTGTACGTGAGTGTGTGTGTGTGCGTGTATTGAGAGGCAGACAACATTTTGCGGTGGTTCGTTCGGTTCACGGCTTGAACCAGTGCCTCGGTTCGTGAACCGAATCTAGTTTTTCTAACAACCTTCAGCTGGCTGCGAAACTTGTTTCGTTTTATAGTTAAATTATTTAAATAATAGACAAATAGTGCATAAAGGGTTTCCAACAGGAAATATCTCCAGCCCGATCAGGTTTGAACTCTTAACAACTTTAAATAGCTGAATTCAGCTAGAAAATAGCTAAACTGGCAATACAGTTGCGTGCTGCTTCTAACAACAGCAACAAATAACATGAGATACTCATGTTATGACACTTAACAGAGCTCTGCTTGTGCTACTGGTATTTCTCTTAGTCTGCCTTGACGCCTCGTGCAGAACAGACCAACGTTTTACCTGCTTTCGATTTTAGTTTGAATTTGCTTTTATTATCTGATCCCTCGATGACCCTCTTTTTAATAATTATATAAAAATAATAATATAAATATAAATTTCTCTCTCAAAGTATTCGATAACATTGTGCGAAGCCTCGAATGAGAATATACTAGCTATAACAACCTCAATCGAAAAGCTGGGGTTTTTTAGAAAGCTTTGATTAATTTGGACTTCTTTGATGTGTTCAGTATTTTTGAACACTGCCCTTCTATGCGATTCTCATGAATTCAAGTAAGAGCTCGTGCGTAGAAATAGAAGTAACTCTCACTCTCTCTCTCTCTCTCTCTCTCTCTCTGTCTCCGTTTGTCACACTCTCTCTCTCTCTCTCTCTGTCTCCCAATCGAGGTCGAAAGTAAAGTCTTGAGCTATATATTTTTTATATTTATAAGCAATTTATATTAAACATTGTTCGTTAACACGATGATGTGGTAGGGCCTAGTCGATCTGGGTAACGGAGGCCTCGTCGTTGCTGGAGCAGCGGCTGCTCTCGCCATCGGTGCGATACTTGATGGAATCGATGATTTCCACATCGATGTCGCGCTCGTGCTGCAGGCTGCCCGTCTCGTGGAGTGCGCCGGCCATGTCGCTGGAGCCGCGGCCCAGCGAGTCCTCGTCACAGAGATCCGCGCACGCCGATGCCGATTCCGATTTGGTATCCAGATCGACGTGGCTCGCTGCCACCGCTGCTGCTGCTGCTGCTGCTGCCGCCGCCTCCTGTTGTGCTGCGAATTGACTATAGAGGCGTGGCAGATGCTGCAGCATATAGCTGGCGCCGGACTTGGACAAATTGGCAGCAGCAGCGGCCGCGGCAGCCGCTGCCGCCGCCGTACTGGCCGCCGGCTGATTCTCCTTGCTCTCGCCCAGATCATAGTATTTGGCATAGTGCTCGAACTTGCCCAAACCAGCCACGCCGCCGGCCAGGCCAGGCCCGGCAGCGCTGCCGCCGATCGCAGCGCTGCTGCCGTTGGCGCACAAATTGATGGCATCGTTCTGCGCCGACTTCGGTATGGGCACGGTGAAGGCGGAGCCGTGACGCTGCTTGCTCAGCAGATTGCTGCTGCTGTTGTTGTTGTTGTTGCTGCTGCTGGCCAGGCCCGTCTCCTCTGCAGCTAGCAGGGCGCCGGCGCCGGCGCCGGCAGCGCTGCTGCTGTTGCTGTTGGACAGCGGCGAGACGTTCTCCTTTTTGCGATCGTAGATGTGGCCCGAGACGCGCAGATCGATGAAGAAGTGCAGCGGATCGATGCCATAGGGCGCGTACAGCGGCGGATACCAGACGGGCGGCGGCGGCGGCAGCACAAGATCCTGTGGCGGCAGCGATGCCGCCGGCGGCGCATTATCCTGCAATTGGCTGTCCACGGAGCCGCCGCCCAGTGTCACTTTTGTCGGCGGCTTTGCCTCCAGCTGGGCGTACGTGTACGGGGTGGGCGTGGCCGACGTCTTATTGGTCAGCTCCAGCGGCTTCTCGGCAACTGTTGCTGCGGTGCTCGCGTGCTGCTGCTGTTGCTGTTGCTGCTGTTGCTGTTGCTGCTGCTGATGTTGCTGCTGCTGCTGTTGATGTTGATGTTGCTTCTCCTCGGCGTCGCGTCGCTCGCGCAGCTGCTCGTAGTAGGGCCTGTGCGACCAGGAGCGCTTGCGGGAGCGTCGCACCAGCGCCGCCTGCTGCTGCTGTTGCTGCTGTTGTTGCTGTTGTTGCTGCTGCTGTTGTTGCTGCTGTTGCAGCTGCAACACGCGCGCGGTTTCATTGTTGCGCGTCTGCACCAGCGAGCGCAGCATGTCGCTGAAGAAGTAATTGTTCGGCCCCACCGGTGCCGAGTATAAATATGGGGGCGTGGCAGCCATTAGGCGGCTAACATAGTCCTGATTACGCAGCTCGTGAATGTTGCTCTTGCGCGGCGTCAGCTGCTGCTGCTGCTGCTGCTGCTGCTGTTGCTGCTGTTGCTGCTGGTGGGTGCCTGCCGATTGCTGCTGCTGATGTGGCAGCGCTTGTTGTGCCGCAACTGCTGCTGCTGCTGCTGCTGTCTGCTGGGCCGCTGTGGGCGTGGCTGCCGCTGCAGAGCCGCCAACGCCTAACGCTGTGGGGCTGTTGTTGTTGCTGCCGCTGCCGCTGTTGTTGTTGTTGTTGTTGTTGTGGTTGCTGCCGCTGCTGCTGCCATTGCTGTCCTTCATGCTGTCACTGCTGCAAGCGAGAAAATTGAAATTTGTAATTAGCTAAAAACGTGCTTAAGAGATGACACGCCGTGACACGAACTGATTCGTGCGTGTTGCCTAAATTCCTATTGAACACGAAAAGGCAATGAGATTGAGTAGAAATCGAAGCACAAGCGATTCTCTTTAGACGAATCAAACATAGATTGTCCTCGAAAGTGTTAAATATGCTATATAAATTAATTCCTGAATAAAGCTCGTGACACGACAGACTCGTGCTTAATATTGAAACAAGAGAAGAAAGCACGTTAGAACTTACACGATGGACTACAGAAATGCCGTTGGCAAACCTTAAATAGTATCAAGGAACTACAGAAATGCCGTTGGCAAACCTTAAATAGTATCAAGGAAAGGGCTCCGACTTCATAATATATATATATCTATATAATATATATTCGTGAGCAAGGCGAAGAGCTGAGGCTTTCTCTTCGTCCGTGGCAAAAATTACAAAATATTCTCGCATATCATACGCAGAATATTGTTCATAATTGTCTTGTGATATGTGCTAACATTTTTAAAATATCGATAAAAATCGATTTTGTGATTTTGTTTTTCAAGCATAACTCAAAAACTATGCGGGCTAGGTTCACCCAATTGGGTATGTAGGCTCTGATAGACCATCCACATAGCTTGGCAATATGCGACTTTTGGGTTAGCTTTTCCATTCCCCACTCTTAAAGCCAGAGTCCTGCCCTTTGGTACTAACACATATCTGGATCGGACCTTAAGCACCGAAACTGTTCGAGAATACATTATCAAAAGTAGCTTGACGTGGGCTGCAGGGCATCTGCTCGTCGGGCACTCCCGACTGGATTATTTTACTAAGCATTACTTGCCCATCTCTAGCTGGAATCCGTTGTGCATTGTCATTTGCGGTTTTTAGTCTTTTAGTTGGTTAAAGTTTCTGCTGTTCTGCTCTTGATTTGAATAAGACGTTGTTCAAGATTTATGTCCATATTTGCATTGTCTTCGTAAAACGTCTTCATCTTGACTGTGTCCCGTGCGCTCTGTGGCACGCCCATTGCGGAACTCAACCCCCTTCCCCTTCCCCTTCCCTTTCCCCTCGCCCTCGCCCTCCTATCCTACCCGACATCCCGCACTCACAGCTGCTGTTGTCTACCTTTTGCCAGCACTCGAGCTCGTCTTCATTTTCCATTTAATGGCAATTAAAAATGATTTCCCATTTGCCTCGCAGTCTGTGTGTACCCAAGAAAAGCTGTTTAAATAGCAACGAAATAACATGGAATAGTATAAAGTGAGATTTAGATTTGGATATTAAGCATATTTAATGTTAAGGCTTTCTTATGAATCCTGCATATATTCCTATTCGTTTAAAATATTTATTATTTGTGGAACGTTTTTCATTTCTTTTCAAAAGTTACCAGTTACTTTTTACGTTTTAGGAAATGCCACTGAAAACTGTGGAAAACTCGCAAGAAACGTTTTTATGAAACATTTTTGCTTTACATGTAATAAGATAAACTATTAACATCACATACCTATGTTAATGACGCACTAACATGATCATTTAACATAACATAGAAATGTTATTGTGTTGCCCATTTACATAACATGCTATTGCTTTTTATAAATTAATGAATATATGTAGCCAGTGTACATATCATATAAATGTTAGTTTTACATAGAATATTCTTAATGATTAGCATAACATATTTATGCAAATGACAAATTCATTTAGATTAACAGTCGCTGCACAACTGAACATTGTACGTAACATATAGCTGTTAGTTTAACATTGAGTAATATTAACAATTAACAGGACGTATTTATGTAAATTGTCACATTCATTTACATGAACAGTCGCTGCCTAGCTGAGCAGAACTGTTGCCTAAGTACTTCTCAAAACACTTGTTTCCACTTGCAAATCCCTTAAATCTGTTATAATGCACATACACATGGCCAAATCTTTTTGTACAATGTGCGCCTCTTCCTTCCTACCCCCCACCCCCCTCCCCCGCACACACCCCACCCCTTCCACAGGCAGCCAAGGGCGCTGTGTGGATTACGTTGTTTGAGGCACGTGCTTTGTGTGGCGCTCACTCACAAATTTGCATAGAAAAACAGGCGACAGAAAAACACTCGCACACACACACCAACACACACACACACACGCACACTTGCGCTTAGTCTGTTAATAAGCTTACATGACGCGCTAAATTCCAGCAAATTAAATGTTTCAACAGTTGCCACACGCACACTAGACTGCAGCACACACACCAACACACACACACACACACACACAGTGGCAGGGGGGGGGGGGGGGTGTAACAAACTCAATTGTTGTGTTCGCCTGCCAAACTGTTGAGGCACTTGTCGCCGTGTGGCCGTTGATGTGGCATCCACACGTTGCCTGCCAGCCTGCCAGCCTGCCTGCCTGTATCCTGTCGTTGTCAATTCTAAACGCCCATCTGCCCCCCCCCCCCAACCCCACCCCCCTCCACCCCTACATCCCCAGCCTTGTCTTGTTGCTCTTTCATTTTCACATTTCAAAAAAGTTTTTGCTGCTGTCGCGGCTGTTGCCAACTTGTTGTTGCTTTCCATTTTGCTGCTACTTCTACTATATATATATATTTTTTTTTTTTTTGGTTTTTAATTTAAAATATTTTTTATTGTTCTTTCATTTGGTTGTAAAAATATAAAAGTTTTTAACTGTCGCCAGCGGCGTCGAGCGGGGCGCTCGATTTGCATTTTTTGGCAGCCGCAAAGAACCCGCGACACATTTCCGACCAAGTTGAAATTAGATTATGCTAATTAAGGCGTGGCCCACCGCCCAACCGCCCAACCGCCCAGCATCCGATCCGCCCGCCCGCCCGCTGGGCACTGATTGATGCGGCAGAGCTTTAATTGGCCGCGTCTGCTGGCCGAGCAGCATTTTAATATTCAATCAGCAGCTGGCGGCAACTTTTTTATGGCCAAGTCGACAAACTTGGCCAAGAGCGCGAGTTAAGTCTGCAGCTGAGATTAATGCGCAGCTGGCAAAAGTGCAACAACAGCAACAACAGCAACAACAGCAACAACAACTGCAACAACTGCAACTTCGTGTTTGTGTTGCGGCAAACAAAAATAAAACTTTTGCATAGTTAGCAGCAACAATTAAAGCCAGCAGCAGCAACTGCTGCGCTTTTTCTTGCAGCTGCTGCTAAATATATTATTCAGGATTTGAACCAGCTCCCAGCTCTTTTTAGCGTGCAAATCCCCTTTCCATACACTTTGGCGAGGCTATTCTAATTTTGTCGTGACATCGGAGACATCTCCGACCAGTTAAAGCCTATATATATTCTAGATCAGCAGCAACACTCGATTTTATATAGCCTTGTGTGTCTGTCTCAAAGCTTTCACATGTCGAAACCGACCGGATCGGACCACTATATCCTATAGCTGCCCTAGGAACAATTCGGTTGAATTTTTTTTGTTTATCAAGATATCTATTCTCATATATATATGCAGAATACTTTCCAAATCGGACTACTATATCATATAGCTGCCATATAAACGATCGCTGCAAAAGATGTTTCTTATCTTCTTATCTTCATCAAACTCATCATATCATATCATATCATATCATATCATATCATATCATATCATATCATGTCATATCATATAATATCATATCATATCATAGCATATCATATCATATCATATCATATCATATCATATCATATCATATCATATCATATCATATCATATCATATCATATCATATCATATCATATCATATCATATCATATCATATCATATCATATCATATCATATCTGCAAAAGACAAGGGCATTAAATCTTCGACGTGCCGAAGATATTCTTACTTCTCGTTCAAATTAAGTTTAATATGTATTTTTGCTGCATAACAGAACAGTTTTCTTTTTGCTGCGAACAACTTCTAATTATAGGCCAAATGTTAAAATATTCATTCGATTACTGTCCCACTGAGTCCAGCATAGCTGGCCCTATTATAAACATACTTAATATCTGTATTCAGTTGCTCCAGAAATTCGGTTCTATATGCTGAGAAAAGTTCTACAACTAGAACAATTGATATCATCGTTTAAATGGGCTTCAAGCTGGATTAATTTCTAGATTAATTTAAGCCTATTTCAAGCTAAACTCGGGTTTGTTTTAATATTAGATTGGGCTTTGTTTCTGGGCTTGGATTCTGTTCTTTTAATGAGCTCCAAATTGAGCCGAATAACTCGTACTTAAAAAGTCAAGCTTATAATAAGCATTGCATACTTAAGTCAAGTCTGATTTTTCTTGATTCAAGTACGAAAATCATTGCTTCTCTCTGTATAAGGAGCATAGATCAAAGTCAAGCAGATTCAGGACATACGATTCATTTCGGCAACTAGTTGAGTTCAAGGTTGCGTTAATGGTGAAACCAAATTGCAGCTTGGGGTTTGAACCGCAACGGTTCGAACCCTGCTGCGCAGCACGGGCAGCTCTCTGTTGATTGATATGTGTATGTATGTGTATGCCGTATACCTTGAACATAAATCAAATCAAAATCTACCCCTTTGCGGACAACCCTCAATGAAAGGCGCTTCAGCTGTGCTCGGGCACACACACACACACACACACACACGCACACACACGCACACACACAGACGCACATCCACTTAACTGACACTTTACGGGAACAACCTTATAACATAATTACAGGCATATCAAACAAGGCTTAGTCCATGGCTGGTACGCTGACAGACTCGTAGTTCGGGCGAGAGGTCAAAGCCACCCCGGCAAAACATTTGCACCCTTTTGTTAAAGATTTGGTAAACTAAACTTATTTGAATGGCGCCCAATGCAGGGCCCTCTATCATAACTAACTGATACAAATAGCTTATAGTATTTGGATAGCTGCAAAGTACACATATTTATATTCCCAACTGAAATAACCAAAATCACAGAAAAAAATAGAGAATTGGTTCACTAAGATCTTATGTTGCCCTCTATA